TAAATGGAAACAATTATATGAAAATTCGTATAGTTTTACTATTACTAAATAATTTAATATGAGAAAATGTAGTTTTATATAATCATAATCTACACTTCATATTATAATTGTGAAAGTCTTTGTTTGTCCTTCTTTCGCGTCTAAACAGAGTGGCGGATTGGAGTGATTTTTTGTGTGGAGATAGTTGGAGGGCTGGAGAGTGACACAGGCTACATTTTACCGCGGGAGATGATCTCATTCCTACGGAAAAAAGTTATAACATAACTCATCATACATATGTATATTATGTATATAAGCATGTATTCAGCATTTTTTAAGGTCTAACGAAAGCTTATGTGTGTTTATTTGTTAATACTTAGCGCTGAAACAGTTAAACGGTTTTGATTGAAATTAAGTATACAGACTATGACCTGGAGTAACACTTAGGATGTAGAGGCGCATCCGGGCAAAGCGAGGATAAGTTACTAGTTTCTCATATAAATAAAGATGCTATATAGATACTGGGATCTTATTTATTACTGTAAAGGTAACATAAACAGGTACTCTCTTATATATAGTTTTATAAATAATTTTGTAATTGCATTTAAAGCGCCGAACGTACCTACTGGAGCTTGTTCAAATTTATTTTACGAGGTAATGGTTGAGAAAATGATTACATACGAGTACTTTACAGCTTCTGATTAGCGTTACAATTTGCGTCCGATATCTTAATTATACACATATACATTATTTTACAAGGGGCGTGCTTTATAATATGTATGTTTTTACAACATCATTCCTTTTTAAAGCGGCGTTTTGATAATAAATAATTTGTTACTTTAGAATCCTTGATTTTTTAAGGGTTTCTCATAATTGATAATTGACTTAATCTCCGATATAGTGTAAATGAATTTCATGAGTCTCTTATAGTCGTATGATTATTCTAAACCCTAACCCGCTGAACCAATTTAGATGAAATTTGGTGTGGAGATAGTTTGAGACCCTGGGAAGGACAGAGGATAGTTTTTATCCGGGAAATCATCCCTTAACCGGGTGAAAAGGGGGATAGAAGTTTGTATAGGGAATTAAACATTTCTCAAGTAAGGGTTATAAAACTCAACATAATTATGACCAATCAAGGTAAAATAGGGGATTGATTTTAAGTTTTTTTAAAGTACCTACGTTTCTCCTATGTATTACTAACCGTTAAAAGTTAAAACGTATCTTATAGGGACGAATCTGAGCGAAGCGAGGAGGGTGAGTCGCTAGTACCTTACATATGTAGTGTAATTTTAACTATTAACCGACAAAATAACAGTTAAATCTTACAATGTAATTAATATATTTAAGTTAAAGCAATCGTTTGAATGGTAAAGAACCGGTCTGTCTCGATTTGCCCAAAAAGGCAAAGTAACGAGAAAAATTGTTACGGAATAAATATTACACAGTGGATTAAGCCGTGTGTGGTCCAAATATCTTCTACATATATAGATTTTATTACTCTAGCAATTAAAGTTTATCTCAGTATATATTTGCAATTATTAGGAGCTGTTCGTTTTGTAATGGACGGTGGACCGTCAGAGGGTTTTAACGAGTATAATTTTTAGTTTCTCTTCTCAAAGGTGTATCGAGGTAGATATAAGATATATAAGAAATATATAAGATATATAATATATGAGACTATAAAAATATATAATATATAAGACTTGGTAAATCTTATATAGTTCTCTTAACAATATATTTAAGTTCATTGATAAGTTTTCAATGAAAACTAATATAATTTTCAACATTTTGTAAATTCTAACAGTTTGGTGCAATAGACTAAGAATCATTAAATATTAAGCTAGCGACTCACCCTTGCTTCGCTTCAGGTTCATCGCTAGACAAAAACAAATCTATATTATATAATCTATAAAAAGTAACCTATGTGCTATTCCAGAGTTTTTTTTTATCTCTGTGCCAAATTTCATCCAGATCCGTTCAGTCGTTCTGTCGTGATTGAGTAATAAACATCCTTCCATTAATGTTCTCACACTTTCACATTTATATATAATACTAGCATTGCCCGCGGCTCCGCCCGCGTTCAGATAACCAAAAACTAAATTCTTAGGTTTTACATATTAGTATACTGTTACATTGCAGTTTTTGTATTTTTTTCTCAAAAATTAGATATATTCCCACAGTAAAAAGTATCCTATATGTTGACCCGGATAACAAGCTATCATCATACCAAATTTCATCAAAATCCGTCCAGTGGTCTTTTCGTGATGCGGTAACAGACAGACAGACAAAAATGCTAAAAACCATAGATTCGGCTTCTGTAACGATAATAATGTCTATTTCAATAAGATTTTCTAAAAAATATTTAATGTACAGATTTGACTTAGTTAGAATTTTATTATATGTATAGATTAGTAGGATGTTTGAGGTCCACATGCTAGAATTTATTCATTCAGATATCTTAAATCATACCATACAGAATTTATCTATATCTTCAAACTATAGTTAAAAAAATAGTAAAAGAACTCCATTCATAGTTGAATCGTTGAGTTCAAATGTCAAAAACCTAATGATTCTTCGCAGAATTACGCGACGTAAGGACCTAGATTGGGACAAACTAATTTATTATGCACACAATAGAGATGAGAAGTGGAATGTGACATTGTAATAGAGCTCAAAATCGTCTAAACAACGGAAGAAAACGCATGCTAAATATTAAGTGAGAAATTGGTACTTCAGGCTTCTTAGTTGAGATTTATATGTGACACAGACCTCGTTTAGGGTTGACCACGAGTGTATATAAGGAATATACCTTTTTCGTTATGTTAATTTAGCCCTATGATATAAATATAATCAATTCTTATGCTATAAGATAAGAATTCTTACCCAAGTACCTATAATTAAGAAAAACTAAAAAGTTTCTTACAAAATTTTAAAGTTACAAAAGAAGAAAGCAGTTACACTTCGTACTTTATAAAGAATACTGCGGTAACCTACTATTATTTGCTTTTGCTTTAAATGAATTGATACAAAAGTATAAGGACAGACTGTTTATATTTATATATTAACAAAATCTTGTAACCGCTTACACAGCGATGTACCCTATCCTATGAATACAATACCAATATTGTCAGCCCCATGGATTTTTATTGATAACGCGTACACATGGTTGCTTTAGCACATTGCGTTTAACAATTGACAACGACAATGTCTATCGATTGGAGAAGTGTGTCGATTAGAATTTATGAAAAAAAATCTATTATATAATATTTCCACAGGTAATATAAATATAAAAATAACTTTTAAAAATGTAATAACAATACTTAGCGTCAAATAATTTTCAAATTTTTAGTAAAACTACAAAAGGATTTATAAGTAAGCACCTTCAATCAGTTTAAAAGAAAAAAAGATAATTCAATCATCCATGTAGAAGTGTGAGAAGAATGAATTGTGACGCAATATCATTCTTAGGAATATTTTTCTAAGTCATTCAAGAAAATTGAATATTTAATGAATTTTTTTCACAACCCTAGTCAGTACATCAATTCGCCGCATCCAGACAATTGGCCGTTAATTGCGATTGTTTTAAAATGGAGCGGTTGCCATGTTTGTACAATATGAGACATGCCTTTTGATACTCGCATTTTACACCAATGTAATAAGAGAACTTATTTTTCTTACATTCAATACCTCCTTAGAATTAGGAGTTCAAAGAGAATTTTAATTTTTAAGTGATTTTTGGTTGGTTAGTAAACAATGACAAGATACTATTAAATACATGAAAACATAAAAGTTTACCTAATTTTAGTTTTTTTTATTTCGTACGTGTGGCTGAAATAAAATGAATATAAATGACGTTATAACATCTCGGACGGCGCGTGAATAACAAAACGCGACTTTCCAAGACTAATATCACCTAAAATGTCCCTTTAAAAACGCAGATAAAATAATGATATGCCGTAATCAATATTCAAAATGTTCCGCCGTAGTCCCGACAACAGAAATCGTGTAAAGATGGCAGGAATACTAATAGAAATTTACCCAATTTGTATTCAACTAGATTGTTTTAGACGCGTCGTGCGAGCTATGCGTGGCATTACTGTAATTCTTAGTTCTTATCTGTGATCTAGTGCTTTCAATGTCCTTGCAAGTACATTATAAATATATTATTTGACCCTTCGCAAGTCGATGTGAATACTGATTGTGAGCATAAATAGCTTGAAGTAAGAAAGTTACGAGTACCTAGTTCTCATGTTCACGATGCTGTTATGAATGTCGAAACTTTGATTCCAGGGATAATTACGAAATGTTGTGTTAATTTCGCTTGAGTGGCGAAATTTTATGATTTGTTTGTTTTGACAGTAATTTATTTAATCAACATTGTAATCAAATTATTTAAACAATGTTTGTCGTGTTTTAAAAATCGTATTCTGTGTTCTAATTGTTAAATACTTCTTATTTGTTGAATGAGTACATAAATAATATAATGAATGCCTTAATAATTTACACTATAACGCATACATTAAATATAACGCATATTTGATCTTAAAATTAGGATTTATTCTAGTATACTCGCATATGGGAAGTCTATAATATGTAACATGTACATACATAAATGGATGTACCGTTTTGTCTAATTGCCTTGCATTTTTAAATAGTTATGGATATAGTTTATAGAACATAAAAACTTAATTTAATACTTATTCCTATAACTAGACGCTTAAAAGAAAGAGCTTGGAAAGCACATAACGTAGCAACATTACAATTACACGTAACAACAGATGCGCTATAATTAAAAATGTATAGAAAAACGCAATGCCACTTCACTCCAGTTTTTAAACGACAAGTTACACAAGTTCTACAAAACTGTGAGAACCAATGTAACCCGACCGTTTGAAGAAGGCGGCAATGTACTGAAAGCTCCGTATGCGAGCTCGTCAACTTCGCGCGGCCGTGTATAACCGAGACCGCGCTTTCATAAGCTCGACCACTCTTCAAAACAGGCATAATAAAACACATACCTTCGACCCCGTGGATTTTTGCGGCCAAAAACAGCAATAGATAGATGGAGAGCAGCGTGATCCCATAATCCGGTATAAAGTTTCTGGACCACATCTTGTAACACAACATTCACACATGGATCACACACATTTGTTTTACTCCTTCTATGTTGTTTTACACTAAATTAATATCACTTCACGGAACTAAATGTAAGAACTGACACTTCATTTTGTTTTTAAACTGTTGTTACGTTGAAAATCCTTGTATATTTGTCATTTTAGCGGTAAAATACATTCAAACGAAACGTAAAGCCCGGTAGAAACATGCGCAGCCGCGTCCTGCTCGCATCTGACGGCTTTGTTCGTAAATACACAGTGTACGGTAAATCAAAATGGCGGACGCGACGCGAGTGTGCGTGAGCGCAACTCGTAACAATAGATATTTTATATATTTAAGCTTTTAATATACTATATTCGAAACATTCGTTTATTTTATAAGTAATTATTACTTATTTGTTTCATAATATACTTTGGTTTTCGTTAAAAAGCCGTGTGAACGCAAAACGCACACATATAAAGTTACGCGAAGGAATGTTGATTCAATGGAGAAATCAAGCAATTCAACACCACTAGTCGCTCGAGCTTTCGAACTTAGTAGTTTGACGACCGTGACAGAGATGGCGCTGTCGCCACGCTCTAATATAGGGGTGGTTTCAAAGGGGGAATATTATTATCTAGTCCGTTAAACTTATAATAATAATTACTTACTTTTGTAACGATAATATTTAAATATTTACATGTCTATGTGTTCCGAAAAACATGACAATAATATTTTGTTTGATCGATAGCGTTGCTAAAGCTCATATTTACCATATGTACCAAAAATTAAACAACGTTCAAAAATAATATAATAGTATAACAAAATGGCAATGTGTTATCATAAGCATCCATTCGAAATCGAAACAGAAGATAAGCTTACAACAATTAACACTAAGATATTTGAAGTCAAAAAGAAGATACAGTTATCAGGTTCGTTACTAAAGTAGTGTAAAGTAATTAAATGTTTGTTTTAATAACAGTACTAAGATTCCATTATCGTCTGCAACATTAAATTACCATTGTTAAGAACAATGAAATATAACGAGGTTTTTTTTGTGCCGGAAAATCGGGACTTTTTTCTTTTCGAGATAAGTCCTTGGGTTCTGAATCCTCTATTTGCCAGGCAAAGTCATAAATATAAATTACAATTATATATGATGGAAATTTTAAATCACATCACATTAAAGTAGGTATATATGTTAATGAAAAAAATGGGTTAAAATAAGGTTCTATTCAATAACATAAGAGTGCAATATGAAAAAAAAATTATGTGGTCATTTTTGAGTCACGATCACTGATGATCCGTCACTCTTTTTCCAAACGAAATAATTTTTTAATACATAAAACATATTAACAAACACGACCCAGGGAGGTTATTAAAAAATTTGCACCAGGCTATTTTTAATTAGTCTCTAAATCGCCTATGTCGTTGTTATTATGTTTAGTTAAACAAAAAAAAAGAATGAGGAGTCCACCACATAAGATCGGGATCTTATATACAATAAATTATTTTAGAGGGTCAAAGAAAATCTAATTACGAAGAAAATGAAGCCGAGAAAAAACAAAACAGCGATTTGATAGATACACTTAAAAAAGAAATAAGAATTCGCCTAGAGGAGTTGGCACGAGCGAGAGAGATAGTAGGGAAAGAAGAAGCTCAAGTTAAAAAATATTTGACCGACGTCTGTCCTATTGGTAATAAGACCGCTGACCAAGTAAGAATTATTAACATATGTATATAGTAAATGCGTTTAATATTAATAATTACCGGTAATTATTAATAATAACTACAACACTTGCTTCTTCTAATTAATATCGAGATAATAATAATTTTTATCGATATTATTAATGATTCGTTAATGTATTTGATCAGTGTCATTCAACAAATAAAAATCAACTTCGGATTATTTTAGTCAGTAGATATCAAAAATTCGAAATAATTTAAATTAATTTCAATTCAAATCATTTTCTTGTTAATATAGGCTTCAAAGCGCGCCAATTAAGCACAGATTTCTTCGCTAATGTCACGTAGACTGGAAAAGACTCGAAGGAGAGTGGTCGTTAAATATATTTTATAATTTGTAAAATTTATCTATTGAGCCTGTTAAAATGTCACGGACATATAATGAAATTATCGTATATTTCTGCATTTTTAGTTACAACTAGCGACTCACGCTCACTTTGCTCGGGTTCGTCCTTAGGTACGTTTTAACGGTTGATATGGAATAGATAGACTATTAGCCTATAGCCTTCCTCAGTAAGCGGGCTATCTAATGGAAAAATATTTTTTTAAATCGGATTAGTAGTTTCTGAGATTAGCGCGTTCAAACAAACGAACAAACTCTGCCTCTTTAAAATATTAGTATTCTTTGTAAATATAGTAGTATAGATATTACGTAAAAAATCATGCGGAACCTATGCAAATATATATATTCATATAATTTATTTACCTAAGAAATAAATTTGAATAGATATTATTATTTATATGTGTCGACTTTTTCGTCACTACTAGCTACGGACTGTGACTTTGCCCGCGTGTCATTCTAATTAATCCAGAATTACTAACGTGAAGTTCATTTTATACAAGCGCAGAGTTCAAGGTACATAATGTGTGTATATATATGCTTGTTTTTATGTATGTTCTATGTTGTTATGTCAATTTGCCAACCAAAAAATGCCCCTGGAAACAAACTAAAAGTTATAAAGATGACAAATTATTATTCCATTAAATATAAATTAGTAAACAATCAATTCCAACAATATTTATTGTTACATTTTATCAATATACTATAATTTTATTACTTCTTTGCATATATTTTACATTACTTTTAAAAGGCCATTATGTAAAGTTGAGTGTTTACACATCCACTTAAAATATTTTAAATTCTCCTGACAATAATAAGCAGCCTCTATACGGACATAGGTATATAAATATGTAGATATATTTTTTTAAAACAACATATATACCACTTTTATATATTATAATACTATTAAATTTATAATTATTTACATAATTTTAACATATTTTAGTTAATTCACAACCTAGATCTAAAAGTAATAGAACAACGTAAAATGTTGGACTTGTTAAAATATGATAAAGGAAGTAAGAAGAAAAAACTGCAAGATTTAGAGAAAGAATATGAATACCTTTTAATAGAAAGCACTAAAAGCGATTTAGTAAAGTCCAAAATCACTACTAGGGCTAGAAAGGTGGGTATAAGTAAAAATCGTAAATAACAAGTTCGATTTCCGTAAAGTGTAAACATAATTTAAAGAAAATTTTAATACGTATACAATTAAATAACATATATAAATATAAAATTAAAAACTATTTCAGAATGTGTCACATCTAGAAAATGAAATTCATAAAGTTCTAATTCAGTGGACTGAAGCTGAACTCGTAAAAAAGAAATATTATTCTATCAGGTAATAATTGATTATTAAATATTACTATTAAAATATTACAAATATGAAATAAAATATTAGTAGGTAGGTATTATTAATGCTATTACTGTTGAAAGTTACACAATCATTTTACCTGAACATTGCTTTTCATGTATCAAAAGGCAAGCCCTAATAGAAGATTCAGTAAAATTCGATAGTTCCCTCTCCCGTATAGAAGATATTTTGAAGAAGCAAAAGGAAGAAATAAGAAAGTTAGAGGTACATTTGTTAAAGTATTATTTTTTTCAAATATAAGCCGTCTATTTATATGTAACATTCTACTTATATTTAATATTCCTGTCACTTTTAAACTCTGGTAGAACGATAATTGAACACGACCGTTGAGAGAGTTCTCCTGGATTTGTGCTCTCCAATACACGAGGGTGAACTATCACGAACTTCCCAACTCCAGGCTATTACTGAGATTGTCATGACAGAAAAACTGATTAACTACACTTACCTGACCCAGGACATGAACTCAAGACCTCCGAATTTGCATTCGTACATGCTAGCTACTAGACCAATAAAGCAATTAAAAATTGACAATGAAACAGGTAGTACGCGAAGAAGCCGCGGAGATGCGCATACGTGCGACCGCAGCCACTGCAACCGAAGCAGCTCGCGCGCATGACGCTGAACACGGACGACATGCGGAAAGAGTCTACTTTGCCCAGAGATTTGAAGAGAGAAAGAGAGAGTTAGAGAAGCTGGAGAAGAGAATATTTCCACCAGCAGGTATGTTACAATAGTTATAAAATGAATAATGATTTACCTAAGTACTAATATTACATGTCATATTTTGTGACGTTACTTGAATGTTTGTACTTAAGCAAATAAACACTGTTAAAAGACTTCGCACGAACCTTGGACTACCAACAGGTGCACCACATCCTAAATCTGCCTGTAATGTGTTTCGGGGTGTAATTTCAATGTTTATTTTATTTTCTATTAATAATATTACAAGGAAACTAATTAATTATTGCCTAAGTGTGGCTCAAATATATATTTCAAGAGAGACATCAAGTATTCAACTATCAAATTAAAATCGATTAAAATTTGAAAATTTAATTGTTTATTTGATCTGTACTAATGTTTGTATGATATATGAGAACTGAAAAATTATATTATCAACAAAGATTATTAATAACAATAGTTCTTCTATCATCATATTTGTTCAGTTCGTCCTGTACGACAAGAGTCTGCTAGATCGACTGAAGGTGAAGCAGCCACAGAAGAACAGTCAGCCGCCGCGCAAATGGAAGAAGTATTTCAAAGATTAATGAAACTTACAGGTTTAGTTACCAATGATTTTATTCCTATTATTACTAAGAGTAGTTAAGATTTTTAAATAGATATATAATTTAGGTAAATAATAGTGGAAGCCCATTCATTCATAAATACAACGTTGCTTGATCCGTATACAGTGGAGTCAAAATAAGGTATCGATGCCTCGCGAATAAAATCTCGACTCTAATATTTTATTTGCAAATCTTATTTCCAATATGATCAACGCTTGCTATTAGGTGAACGAATACCTGCTTGTCTTAAGGAATTATGTAAATTCAAAAGACTTGTCAAGTCCGAAAAATAAATAGACGCGCGATGGCGCCTTACCTACTCCTGTGGAATGATTTATTTATTTGAATTATTTGTAACTAGTGATTTACTCACGTTTCGCTCGGGTGCCTCCCTTGGAATGAATGGATTAGAAACGCATAAAGAACAAACATAAGAAAAAAAAATTTTTTAGCCAGAAAACTTCGCGAATACGCACTTCACCAAAGTTTCATCATAATTGATGAATGGTTTATTATTATGGTACAAACATAAAAATATCACTTTTATTTATATAGATAATTACAATTTCTTCAGGCGTAACTGATCCTGAGGAAGTATTTGATAGATTCAGAGCTCAACGAGAAACATCAAAAAGACTAAATTACTTACAACAGAACACTGAAGAGGAAAAACTACTGTTGGAGCAAACGCAAACAACGTTAATGGCTGAGCTGGAAGGATACAAATTCGCATCTGTCAAGGATAAAGATGAGTATGTTTTGATAAATAGTCAGTTTTCGTGTTTTATTGATTAAAAAGTATATATAATTAATTAAATTAGTTATGAAAAAATATAAAGCTTTGTTTAGGCCCAAAATTTAAAACGAAAATTAAAAATTGCTTGAAAATTTCCATTTTCAGGGGCCAAGAAGAAATAACTGAGTTGAAAGCTCAAATAGAAATTGAAGAAAAAGAATGCATGGAGTTGCAAAAGAAGTTTGATGAATTGGAAGCGGTCCTTTTAGAAATCAAGAGATTGTTGTACGATTTATGCAAGATGTTAGATGTAAGTTAGCATTTTAATACAATGAAGCTCATACTTAAAGTAGAATGTAGTTATATTATTTGGAAATGTATACTAATATTATAAAAAGAAAGTTTATGTTTGTTTGTACCGAATAGGCTCCGAAGTCCGAAACTACTGAACTGATTAAGATGAAATTTGGTAATAAGATAGTTTGAGACCCTGGGAAGGACATAGGATACTTTATATCCCGAAAATCATCCTCTAAGGGGATCAAAATGGGAATAAAAGTTTATATGGAGCAACCTAGAGACAAACCCGAGCGAAGCGAGGTGAGTCGCCAGTAGGTAAAAATGAAATAAATAATTTCTATTCCATTTACATTTTACATCATATATACCAATACATACGCACTATTATATAACCAGAGTATTATTATATACGTGAAAATTAATATGTGTGATGTTTGTTAGTCCTTCATTGTAAAACTGCTAGACAGGATTTGGATAAAATTTTGTACACAGACTATGACCTGAAGTATCACATAAGCACACAGTAGTTTGGTATGGACTAGGGATATTATAAATGTGAAAGTGTGTTTCTTTGTTTCAATTCCTTATTCCACGACGAAACAGAGTGACAGATTGATTTTTATGTGGAGATAGTTGGAGGGGTGGAGAATGACATAGGCTACTTTTTTCCGCGGCAGATTATCTCATTCCCATGGGAAAACACGTTTTAATACAACCGACAACAACTTATCATACCTATGTCTAATACACATATAGTTTATCTATTCCATACTAAGTAACCATTAAATTTAATCTAAAATGTTTTTACTAGATAATAGGGGAACCCCCAATGCCAGAATGGACAGCCGAAGCTCGTGACGTGGCGGAGACGGTCGCGGCACTCTCCGCGCGCTACAGCGCCGCGCGCACCCGCACCGCTACGCTCACGCACAAACGCGACCACGCTGTTGTTCCTTCTAACGTGAGTGTCATGCACAAAGTGACCATGACCAAGTTTACGGTCGTCAGTAATCATATATTAAAAATTTTCATTTTTATAGTACTAAATACTAATGTTTTTATAGAACTTAAAGTAATAAAGGGAGCAAGGCGGTCGAAAGAGAAGCAAACATATAACACTGATACTTCGTAACGTCTATAACATCCGCTGTGCGTTTCAGTTTAATCCATAACCATAAAATGAAGATATTGTTTGGATTTAGGTTTCCTAATCTCATTTTACCAACCAATCTCCTTCGTGTCTTCTCCATTCAATGTGATATTGGCGAAGTAATCTGTGCTCAACTAACACGCTTTGATGCCATTAACAATAAAATTGAATTTGATTTAGATTTCGTAAGGTTCCAATTATTGATATTTTTAAACTTCCCTTATGATCTCTTAGATTTACTCGAGTGATTGTAGATAGATGATATAGTTAACTGCTTTGGTGATCTAGTAGCTAGCATGTAGGTCCTAGGTTCGAGTCCTGGGTCGAGCCAAAATTAATTATTGAGTTTTCTGTTAAGATATTCTCAGTACCTAGTAGCGCGGAGTTGGGAAATTGGTAGTACTGCACCCTCGTGCTCGGAGAGCACATAAAGCCGTCGATCCTGTGCCTTAACTTTCACCGGTCGTGGCCGAAACAGAATGCACTTGTGTCTGCACGTACACACTCTGCACTATAATAACCCCATAGACAGATAGCTATATAATATAGTCTTGAGTTATTTTCTTATTATCTCTTAAGTAGCTATTTCTGGAAAAACATTGATCTAACTTATTTCATATAAACTATATCATGTAAAACAGATCAAATTTCCGAAAGCTATATCCACCTACCACTTTTTTTACTACTATATTCAATACAAATACATAAATACAAGTTCCATGAACATACAGACCACCAGCGGCGCCCCGTCGGTGGCCGGCGCGAGCGCGCGCACGCCCAGCACGCTGAAGGACTCTGACAAAGTCCTGCCTACTTACAGGGAGCTCGTCAACAAAGAACCCGTTAAGGCACCACGTGAGATAAATATATTACTTATATGACTTTTCATAAAATAGAAATTGTTTAATAATTATTATCTATAGGTACATATAACAAAATACTAACTGAGTCGAATCTGTACATTTTTTGGAAAATCTTATTGAAATAATCATTATTCTCTATACAGAGGCCGAATTTATAGTTATTAGAATTTTTGTCTGTCTGTCTGTTACCGCATTACAGAAAAACCACTGGAGGGATTTTGATGAAATTTGGTATGGTGATAGCTTGTTATCCGGATCAACATATAGGATATTTTTGCTGCGGGAAAATGTCTCGTCTTTGAAAAATCTATACTAAACGATAAAATATAACTAGGGATGAACCCAAGTGGAGCGAGGGTGAGTCGCTAGTTGTTTAATAATATTATAATAAATACAGCTACCTAACGGGTGCATATTTAGTGATTTTCTTTGAGAACTTAGCCAACATAATATCACAGTCTACTAATCCATGCAGTTGTCTAAGAAAGAGTTCTAGACAGGGCGAACGTGTGGGACGTATGGAGTGAGAATCGGGTGAGGCACACCTGACTGTCATACTTTTTTATAGAAGTCGGGAACAGCTTTAGGGTTATTAGGTATAACTGTAACTTGCCACAAGATGGCAGTACCGCGCTTTCTTCAAACTTCAAAAGCTTTCGACAATGAAAATTGGTATTTTTGAGATAATCAAAGAAGATAGTTACTTTATGGATTTTCTTATACACACTCTGATAATGTTCTGAATATAACTCTATATTTATAAAAACTTGCTAAATTAACTAAAACACAGCTATATTATGAAATTATTTTAATTTCCTTCTAATAATATATGTGGAAATTGAATAAATATCGTGAATTTATGAAAAAATATACCATATATTTTATCATTTTCTAATTCTAGCTTCGGATGAAGAAGAAGATATCCCATCCCGGTGTTACTTGAAGCGTCAAGCGCAACTAATTATAGATACTAAGTGTAGAAGAAAAGGTTTCCGCGCTCCTTTTCCTCGAAAATAATATATTAATTTTCAAACATACAACTAGCTATGTAGAAATGAAGGATTTTTTCCAACGCCAAATCCAATCTGCGATAATACGAGTATGTACAAATAAAGAAAAATATATAGATACTTATTATTCAGTTAAGATTTAAATTTTCAAATAAGGTATTAATGGCAAATGTATTAATTTTGACCACAATAAAATAACAATCAATTATTATTTCATCTTGTTTTTTTGTCATAATTTTCTTGTTCCTATCTCGCCACAATTCTTTCCCAGTACTCAATTAAAAGTTACTCATGTTTTAGTTGTAGAGAAGAGGTAGATACCTCTATCTTATAACTATCCATACAATTTTTTTGCTTGAGTTTTGCTTGAATTTTAATAGTATCATGCAAATAATCACACGAGCTTTATAAGCCATTTTAAAATTACATACAGATATTCTAATTTTATACATAATTTCCTTATATTTAAAAAACACGAATTATTATATATATAAAAACTCCTTTTAAAAATTTATTTAATGACTTTTAAAATCAGAAACGTTTGTCATTGTCAAATCATTTTGTAGCACTTTACAAACGCATTTAATATTTTTTATCTAAATATTATTTTTTATAAATACATTACCATAAATGAATAAATTTCTTAAATATTTACATTTGCCATAATTAATCATGTTCTGCCCTTACAAAAACTCGTACCTGCAGCTGGTTTGCGCCATGAACCCACGAGTCATCAACAAGGCCGTGGATATCGCGATGGAGAAAAAACATTTTGATCCTCATACAGGTTGAATTTTATGGTTTTTACTGATTATAATTTAACACTTTGTTATATAACCACCACCACTTAAATTTTTTATATGGTGCATATTATATGAAACATATGATAAAAATACCAAAGCTCGAGATTTGAACCCACTTCACTTTGCTTCTTGAGCTACTACTGCTTTGCATATACATATTATATTCTTATAAACTTATATGGTTAGACCAATCTATCTGTGATAAAGCATCTGCTGGTACATAATATACACTCCGCGACAAAAGTATAACCCACCCCCCTAATTTTGTAATATCTAATATAAAATTATAATTTTATTAATATAATACTAATAGACAAAATTAGGTATTGGTAAGTATATTTTACAATCAATGTATTATTTATTAAGTGCAAAATTAACCAAATACAGATGATACATAAGTTTTGCGGTGCGACAAAAGTATAGCCCAGGTAAATTAAATATAAATAAAATTCAAGAGAAATGCAACGAAGAGCAATTATTTATTTAATTTAATATTTAGTAGATCCACCACTTTTACTTATTACTTCAATCATTCGATCTGGTAAACTGTCATATAACTTTTTAATTGTGTCTTGATTCATGTTTTGCCATTCGTCAATTATTACCGTTTTTAACTCTTCAACAGTGGTAAATTGTCTTGATCCTCGATAGACAGCTCGTGATAAATTTCCCCAACAATTTTCAATTATATTCAAGTCAGGAGAATAAGCTGGCCATTCAAGAACTTGAATATTTTTTTCAGTAAAATAGTTTTGAACTATTTGTGCACGGTGAATACTGGCATTATCGTGCTGAAATATAAAATTAGGACCAGCAATTCGCATTGCATGAGAATTAATCTGTTCATTTATTATGTCTATGTACCGTTTACTGTTCAATTTTCCAGTACAAAACTGGATATTCATTTTTCCTAAGTATCCAATTCCACACCATATCATTACACTACCACCCCCGGCTTGTCGTCGATTCAATACACATTTTTCTTTTCTTAAATCGTAAAAATAGTACTTAAAACCATCAGGTCCATCTAAATTAAACTTCTTTTCATCAGTGAAAATAACTTTTTTTCCAATTCTTCTTCCATTGAATATGATCTTTTGCAAATTTAAATCTATCTAATTTATGTTTATCGGATAGCTGTCGTTTTCTTTGTAATTTCTTACGTTTTAGATATCGGCACCCATGTATAATACGTTGAACATTTCTTAAATTAGTGCTAACACCAGCCTCCACTGCAACTTGTCTTGCTGTAAGGGCAGAATTAGATGCAACTCTCAGAATTGACCTTTTTTCACGTGGTGTTGTTGCCCTTGGTCGACCAGTCCTCTTTCTTTTACCATAATTTTCAGGATCTTTTAGAAAATTTCGCACAACACGATGACTTCTATTTATAAATTTTGCAATTCTGGCTTTAGACCAATTTTCAGAATACAATTTCCTAACTAAATTAATTTCACTTTCGCTTAAACGTTTCCCACGTGGCATTTTATATTAGAAGTAAATAAATGTCAATCGATTTTTTTTTAATACATAACAATTTACGAAGGACACAGAACATGTATCGACAGGAATTGACACTTCTAGCACATGAAAAAAATAATAATATAATAATTTAAAAATAAAAAAATAAATATAATGAAGCCCCTCAAGCCAAAGTGACTTATGGGTTATACTTTTGTCGCACTATCATACTAACAATCCCGCCGTGACATAAAAAAAAACTTAGAATGTAATTGTACACATACTATAATACTACAAAAAATAAAAAATAAAATAATGCAATAGTAATATGTAAAGGTTTATATAGTCTTAAATTAGATATTACAGAATTATGGGGGTGGGTTATACTTTTGTCGCGGAGTGTATATGTAGGTATTTTTTGCCAGTCAAAAACTTTTCACTTCATTCTCTTTGTTTCCCAATAAATTGAAACCCATGTTGGTCACTCAATGCTGCTATTTTTACCAGAGCCGTCGGTATAAATTACTTAAAGATTTTTAAATTTGTCTCTGATCTATCTGATATCTGACAATAATTAAATACCATTTGACACATAGATTCATTTTGGTAATAAATAAGTAAATAAAACTAAATATATTTTAGAAATCCCAGCGGCACAAAGACTAGAGTCAATGCAACCTTCGCTTTACGCTCCACATGTGGACATAACGCGAGCAAATCTAGGTTTTGGACGTATCGGCCTTAGACTAATTAATAGGGACCTACATTCGAGTGACTATCTGGTGCAGTTGCAAGCACTCCATAGTGTAATGGACCAGGTATCCATCTGATTAAATATAATTAACTCCAGTTATGTTATAACAGACGTGTCATATTATTCTTCTCAAAAATTCTGATATTTAATGCTGAAATATAGGTTTTTTTTTGAACCCTCAGAGAGTAAGTTAAATTGCATTTGTTAAATTTTTCTCAGAATATCGACACTCCAACTTACTTTGAACGACTTACCCAATCTATTACGAAACCATTATCATGCAAAATAAATTATCATAATATCTATTAGGTCCAGATATCAGAGAACGCTTTATTCCTCATCAACCTCCACGTGGGCTATCGACTCATCGATTTGATGTTAGACCGTAACCCAGTGATACGAGAAAAAGTGTGCTTAATTCTCACAACACTCGCCAACTATTATCAAGGACGAAAACAAATTATGACACGGCAAAAAATTATAGACAACCTCATGTGGCTAATCATGAGAGACAGGAGGGAAATAAGATATGCTGCAGCGTATACTTTGAAGACGTTAAGTGACGAGAGATGCTCAAGTGAAATGATTCTGCGAACCGATAAAATCATCGAAAAGCTGCTAAAAATGGTAAAACACGAGCATATTGGAATCATTGTAATACATTTAAAAACTTTGGAAAATCTCACTGAGAGGGATCAAGTTGGACCTTTGAAAGCTAATGCGTTCCAAATTATGTTAAAGCTTCTTGAACACGACGACTCTAGAATTGTTTGTGGGGCGATGGACTGTTTGACGCAATTGTGCAAACATGAGGTTGGGAAGAAATTGGCCGATATCAATGACTTAACATTTCTACTGAGACCGTTTTTAGTGTCGCCATCGATTGAAGAGCGAATTAGTGCAGCGGGTCTACTTGCATACACTACATTGACTACCCGATCAAAATGGCGTGCTAAGGAATTTTGCAACGAGTTGACCAAACGCCTAGTTATTTTGTGTCACAGTCAAAACAAACCGTTATTACAGATGCGAGCTATGCAAGTGTTAGTAAATCTCTGCGACTGCCCCGATATAAGGCATCATATGAAAAAGCATTGGGAAAATAAGATAAAAATAATTCAAATAAGAACGCATGAAGAATGGGATGGGACGAGTGAAACTACCAGTTACGGGTTGGAAACTGGTCATAATTACAGGACAATGTGTATAGAGGGCGTTGAAACTATTAAAAACGATTATGGAGACACGGCTTTGGCGATCGACGTTCATAGTTACTTGGAACGCGTGCGCAAAATCAAAGCCCATTTGTTATATGCAATTAATTGGAAATCGTATAAAGACTAGATATACTAGAGATATATAAGAAATATTCAATTCAATTTGTTTGTTTATGTTTCCCATTCCATTTCATCCAATTAAGATAAAATTTTGATTGTTGTATCGTGAGCGTTCATTTGAACATTTGAGCGCGCTTTTAATTTTTTTTTATGAATACAACTTCAAGCATTGGATTTAAGGTTCAATTTACATTGTTGTATATTTATTTCAACTAGAATAATTATCTAAACACAATTGGTAACAGTTTAAAGAGAACTCTTGCATGGGATTGTATATCTAGCACTTTTTTGATCGATGTTTGTTTCGCTCGCGATTGTTTTGATATAGTACCATCAACACAAAATAGATGGCGTGCGAATCTCGGTTAATTTGAAATAAGTCTAAAAGTAACCAATTATTTAAATAAATATATGCACATACATGTACATTCATACATATAATATAATTATAATATAATTATAAGCGTCTCTTTGTCTATTCTATTCAGCCCTTTTTTAACGTCCCACTGCTAGACACGGGCCTCCCTTCAATACGAGGGGGATCAGGCCATAGTCCACCACGCTGGCCGAATGGCGGGTTGGCGGACTTCACATATCTTTCGAACACTTGTTAGGTTGTCTCAGGCATGCAGGTTTCCTCACGATATTTTCCTTCACCGTAAGGCAAGTGGTAATCATGTTAGAAATGATTCGCACATGAAAATATCACAGGTGATTTGAACCCGCTTCACTTGGTTTCCCAAGCGAGCAAGTTACCACTGGACTACCACTGCCTTTGTACAATTTTAATAACCAGAGCTAATCATTAGATTTAAATAAAACACCATACAAATTTGAGCATTTATTGATACTATACATCGAGATACATTTGGTATTTGAATACGCTACATTTTTGTGCCTTTGTTGGCAAGCTTACCTACAATCAGTCATTCATCATAACATACACGTAATAAAACGATATATCGCATTTATAGAACTAATTAGCTGCTGTATAACATTTTTTAATCTACGTCTCAATTTAAATTGGCCTCATTTGTTTTTATCTGCCTCTAAATGCCTCTATTTGCCTTAGAATCGATTCATTTAAACTATACTATAAATAGGCAAAGCCAGAACAGTTCAGACCTTTTCCTTCTCTTTTACAACCGTTTTTTTTCCTTAGTAGCTATTTTTTAGTTTTAGAAACAGATTTCTGAAGTTATACTTCTTTTGGGACATTTGTCAAGGGGCGGACCAATTAAGTCCTGAAAAGCCGGCAACGCATTAGTGGTGCCTCTGGTGCTACAAATGTTCATGGGCGGCGGTAATCTCTTAACATCAGGAGACCCGCCTGCTCGTTTGCTCGCCAATATTATAAAAAAAAATTGTAAAAAATATGAGAGTAAAATTTTTACGATTAGCGCGCACACCGACAGCCAAAAAGCGACATGATGAAGTTAGCTGCATTCCTTTTACAAACTGAGAGTTTTGACATACGGGATGAAATGTTTAGCTATTTTTGGTCTGTTACGCCAAAGAAGTATAACTTCTTACATGCGTACATAAGTACACACACACGTTTTTTTTTAATATTATGATTATGGTCAAATTTCTACAACTGGGCGAACATTTAATTTATCTAAATATGAAGTTATAGCATAAGCCTAGATATTTCTAATACATGAGTAATATTGATAAGTACTTAGAATACAATATCAGAGACAGAACTATGGATTTCACTGTACTTTATAAGCAATTAATAAGGTCATACACAACCCGTTTAAAATACTAATATGCCTAATTATATCTAAAATTAATATTTTAACTTAAGTAATAATTTTTTTTATAAGTCCTATCTATATAGCATGTAATAGGAAATAATCTCATAATATCCCATCTCTAATACTTAAATTATGAAAAATTCGAAGCGGTAAGTACAAGATAGATAACACTAATAAATTATATTAGGGTAAAACAGTTCAAGAATGAATACAAGATTCGGTTTAGAGATTCGGTAAAAATATGATTATTTTATAATATTTGATTTAATTTCAAGTTAGTAGCGTCATTTAAACATGTTGAGTTAGCCTTTGATTGAAATACATATACAAAAACAAAAAGAAATCTATCCCACGGTAACCATACATATTTCCGGGATAAAAGTATAATATGTCTTATTCCAGACTATACCTCTGTGCCAAATTTCATCTATATTCATTCAGCCGTTCTGGTGTGAAAGAGTAACAAACATCCATCCATCCTTACAAAGTTTCACATTTATAATATTAGTACGGATTTTAAATGTTTATACAAGTTAATTGTAAGATACTTTGTGTGTAATATTGGCTACCTATTTAAATAAATAAATTTAAAATTATCATTTAGTTGGAATATTGGCATTTTTTAACGGGAACTCCTCTCAAAAGTAAGCGCTAAACATGGTAAATATTCCATTTTATATCTACGTATATAATAATATTTACAATGGTTTTAGAAAAAATTGCAGATATTTTTTATGACTTATTATACCCATATAAAAATATTGCTATAATACTTTCACAAATGTATGATATTTTTATAGGCAAGATTGAGTCAACTTTCCTTAAATTATTCACTAAAAAATTAAGGAACCCAAACAATCTATCTCTAAACCGAGATGTAGTTCATTTTAGAACAATTTTACTCTTGGAAGTACATCTACATAATATGGCAACTATATCATATCTATACCTGGATTAATATAAACCTAAAATTGAATCTAGATTTCTAGACTTAGACTTATTATTGTGCTTTAAACTATTAGGAGACCTAAAAAGGACCTTTTTGATAGGAATTGAATTTTAAATACTAAATTAATAGAGGAATTGGGGAGTTTCACATTTAACATATAGGTTTTAGAATTATGTAATAGCTATTTAATCTAGTGTCATTTTGGAAACTGATCACAGTGTTCTTTGGAAAATTTCGTTTCTGAACATAACGACACCAGCAAAGAAAAATTTGTAACTTATTATTAATTAATACTTTCTTAGATTTACCTGAATATTTGACATTTTAAATGAAACTATCATTTCAGATTTTCTCGCGGATTTATTTTGATTTTTGGTTTCTTTTATGATTTACATTATAGGTATGTCATACAGAGACTATGATAGCTATAAAGTATTCAAAAACTCGGGAACCAAGAATCAAAATAAATTCGCGAAAAAATCCGAAAAGATAGTTTTATTTAAAAGTTTAAAACTCACTTTTACTATATTATCACTACATATTATGAAAATCGCTCGCAATGTGTTTGTTCAATTTTCATACGGTTCTCGCTAATAGAAAGATAGATTATCAAGATAGATATTTACACTTATAATTTATGAATATTATATGAAAATAAGCTACCGCTATAAGCCTATCTTTGAATTAAGTAGGAAAAAAACGTTTTTTCTGTCACGTATGCAGTCATTAGTTAAACATAATGTTCTTCGCTGGTGTCCATACATCAAAAATATATATACAAAATGTCTGGGGATGTACGAACGCGAATACGTTATAGATATGCCTTGTGCGTGTATAGCTCGCTTTTATTTTATAAAAAAAATAGTTTTTCGGAAAATCAAAATATAATTCCGAATTCTATATCGAGAAAAAAATTATTGTCTAAGATACAGACTTTAAATTATGTACATAAGTATAATAAGCATCTAAGTTATATACATAAGTATTATAATATTGTAAAATTTATTTTAACATGTTTAATCAAGTGACGTTTGGAAAAAATTTAAACGTCTATTAAATACTTACATTACACGTATATTTGACACTGTAAAAAATATCTTTTCGGATTTTTTCGCTGTTTTTTTTTATTTTTGGTTCCCGACTAGGAGCGACCATCCCATAACCATGATTGCAGTGAATCCTTCGAAACGTCAAAAAATCGGAAAAGATAGTTTTATTTAAAATTTAAACGTTATAAAATGTCGAGCATTATCTCAATATTTTCTAATACTTTATTTACTAAGTATACTTCCACAAAGGTATCAGATTGGTTTTATTTTAATGTAATATCTACCATTACATATAAGTTATATTAAAACTAATACAGCTTTAAGCTATAACTGTTGATGTTTAATCGAAAATCCTAATAAGAAACAATTTGTTTCTACTCACTAATATATTGTCTATTAAATTAATAGAAACTACAACAATGTTAGTCTCATGGAAAAATCAATGTTTGTTTTATAAAAAAAATGATTGAGCCAGGATTGAACCCGAAATGTCTGTAATAGCAGCCAATTCCAATCAATCATGATACACTTGTACAACGAAGATATTATTCTGGGTATTTCCCTAATACATATATACTTATATAAATAATGAAAATATTCAATACAATATTTTTGTACAAAACAAATCTTAAGTGTTGAATTAACATTTTCATGTAATACATACTGTAATGTATAATTAGTACTGACATATCGTTTATGACATTTAAACTAGAAATAGCTGCATCCAATATTACAGAAAAAAAACCTTTTTTTTTCTAATAATATAAAATTAAATTTTACCCTCGTTTCCTACAAGAGCATTATTTAATTCAAATACCAATACGTAATTAGAAACTATAACACAGTCCAATCAAATCACATATCAACGCCCTCTTGCACACTTTCCCTCTCAACTTGCACGCTTTCCCTCACAACTTGCACGTTTTCCCTCTCACCTTGCACATATGTATAGAGCGCCTTGCACAGATCGTGCAAGGTCGGGTCTCATCTGCCCCCACGTTTATTTAACGGGTCATAAACTTCAGCTTCCGAATCTATTTCATCTTCTGACAACGAGAGGGAACCCCCCACGCGACGTGTTCGAAGCCCTTCCTGTAGAAAAGATTTATTATTAATATTATGTATGTCGAGTTTTTAAGCTGGCGATGTGACTAAATGGATGTGAACTGTATTTTAAAAGAACTAATATTAAAAATTGCTAATAAAATTAACTGTAATTAGATGTAAAAAAAATACGTGTGATTTTAGTAATGCCTCTTAATGGAACATTCACTGATATTGTGCAAGCTATAATAAATAAGTTTTTCTAATATTGATAATCAATAATTCTCAAGAATAAATATAAAAACTATAGCCATTCTAATTGCAGGCAAAACAAATTAAAAACATTTTAAATAAAATAATTTAATTTTTTATTTTTAAAAATAAAAAAAATGTTGCCCATTGTAATAATAATAGTAAATTATAATGTAAATATGTTATGAAGTCGTTAGCTAATGTAGCAGATACCTGATATATTGTTATATTACGAATCACATTGGCTTTTGGGATAACCATTGTCACGTTTCCACAATCCAAATAAAAAAATAAAAAAAGTAATAATATAAAGCAATTTAACCTTAACCAATGCACTGTTATGATTAGTTATTAAATAAGTCATTATAAGTGCGACGTTCATATTGAAAAAATATCTTTTATACAGATAAATAAAATTGAAGGGTCTGTTTTTAATATTAAAATAACAGCTTTTTACTAAATGCATATGAAATTATATACGGTAGGTACTTATAAGATAAACACAATTTTTCAAATTTTTGTCTGTCTGTTCCGGCTAATCTCCAAAACGGCTGGAACGATTTTGACGGAACTTTCACTGGCAGATAGCTGATGTTCTGTGGAGTAACTTGGTCTACTTTTTTTTCAGAAAAAGTGTTCCGCTCAAAAAAATTAAAACGTACATAGGGACCCGAGCGAAGCGAGGGTAAGTCTCTAGTAATAAATAAATATATTTATTTATGTTTTATGTATTTAAAAAAATATCAAGGTTTTAGAATGCAGGAGGCACTGTTTTTTCGAAAAGTCAAATTTTAAATAACAATTTACGAAATCATTTGCAATGGTATAGTTTTTTTTTTCATTTTAACCCAAGCAGCGTAAAAAATAGGTACATATAACTGAATCCGAAATGCTGTAAGTACAAAAGTAAAATTTGCATAGACTTCTAAAATATCCTAAAAAATATAGGGTTACACAATACAAACCTTCTAAGCGAACCTATATACAATTGAAGCTTTGACCAAATAAAAAGCGAATGAACTTTAGTGAATTAGAATTTCGAAGCCTTAATGCTTAATACGATAACGAAAAACTACTCATTAATATTGCTTATGTCTGTTTTTACAGACAAATCTTATAAAACATAAACCGATCTCAAATGTTTTATATGAATATAACTGTCAAATGAAAAAAAATAATATACAACCTAATTTGTTATCGCATTAAGCACCAAAAAAGCGACCTGTGCTCCCATAAAATAAAAAAAAAATAGAAAAAAAAATATGACATCTAAACCGAAATGACAGTAGTGCAGCTCAATAAGTGCCCACCAGTTCCGTGTCGCTGATCCACGCACCGCCCTCCTCTACGCTTGACGACATCTAGCAATTATAACACCCACATTGTATTTTCTTAGATATTTGTACCAATTCTCACTTATTTTATGTAACTGGTTTAATGAAGAAATTTAAAAGTTAAGAGTATATCAGAATATCGTCATAATAAAAAAAAAATTGAAAAATTTTGAATTTTGAAAACGTTTGAAAAATTTCCTTATATATGCAGTTATATTTTAACATCGATTTGTCGATGAGTTTCTTCACAATGACTGAAGGGAAATGCTTTGTGTTAATAATCTGGTTGGCCATTTAGCCTTCACATCCCACAATCCTCCCCTGCCACCAACTTTTTTGCCTAATATATTAACCGGTCACTACACTAGCTTCAATTGCATCTTTTAAATAATAAAATACATAATTCTTGTAAAGCTTCGTATCTTATATATAAATATGAAAAAAACAATACAATATACTTAAAGTAAAAATTACCAAAAATTACAACTTTAGCACATACAAATGTTCGATTTCAATACATAAATAATCAACAAAAAAACAACAGTCTAACCAGTGCCGGATTTAACCTTAGCGCCGACCCTGGGCACTAAAAAACGCTGCCCTATTATCGAAATTTTGAATAAAATGTTGAATTAAAAAATTTCTTAGAATCTTTCTTAATATTTTTTTTAGATTATCAATTTTTTGATTAATTAAAAAAAACTTATAAATAAATGATATCAATTTTTCGAAAAATTGTACTAGTTAATCTTTTTGTATTTTTCATTTTTACGAACGCGAAGAAATTTTTTTCCCCGCCCACCAAATTTTACCAACACTAAAATTTTGTCGCTTCGAGCACTAACCCCGAGTGCCCCAAGTGTGAATCCAGTGCTAAATCTAACTACCCTAACCATATATCCAACATACCTCTACCAGCCGTCTCCTGGTCTATGTTCTACGTACCTCCATTATGCCGCCACTGGGCTCCGACGCGTACCCCTCGAAGTGCCGCTGGTCCTCATAGTCTGAGGAGGAGGAGGACTCCGCGTCCACGTCACGCCCAGTACGCACTGAACACACCATTTGTGCTAAGTCGGTGAATGTGTAGCTGTAATGGAAAATGGAAACAAAAATTATATTTTAGAGTTAAAAAAATTAATATAATTAAATGAATACGTCCCTAGTTGGTTAACAGTGCATATGTAACTATATAAGGTTGTGCCAGCTGTCACAAAGAGGTTCACAGAAACGATCAGACCATGCTTTAAGTAATAAAAAAAACAATTTTTTACTTTATTTATTATAGGTATTGTCCATTTTATTGTCAGAGCCAGGTATATTAGAATATTTTTCAAGAGCGAAGTTATAAGAACTCACACCGTACCCAATTATTATTATTATACTAGCGACTCACCCTCGCTTCGCTCTGGTTTGTATCTAGGTACGTTTTAACGGTTAGCGTGGAATAGATATAACTTGTTTTCCCGTAAGAATGAAATAATCTCCCATGGTAAAATGTAGTCTATGTCACTCTCCAGCCCTCTATCTTCACACAAAAAAAACGACAATCTGGCAGTTTATTACGACGTGATAAAACAAACAAACAAATAAAGTCAACGTCAAATTGTATATCATAGAAAGAGAAAGTGTCAAATAAACAAATGCATTCAAGTAGCATAAGGCGGCGTTCATAATTATAATGTTAGTAGTAAGGAAAAATAAAAATGTGAATTTTACGTTTTTCCATGATTTTTTTTCTAATTTTTTTCTTCATAAGTACCTTCCCCAGACTTCAGCGAATATTTGCATAAAAAAAAAATAGTCCAGCCGTTATCGAGTTTTGCGCTTAGCAACATTCATTTTTATTTATATAGATAGATACAAATCCAGTACTTACTCAGTGAGTGCCGGCTGCGTCTCATGCCGGCGTCCTTCCGCGGCGGCGCCGCTGACTCCGCCGCCGCCACCGCGCCGCTGCCCCTCGAAGTACGCGGAGCCGTGCCGGTAGCCCACCTCGCGGATCTCGTCGAACGACCCGAATTGTAGAGTTTTGTAAGCGTCTATCGGAGGTCGTATGTACTCGCAGTAGTCGGATTTTTTTACTTCCTGTAAGTGTGTGAATAGAATGATTAATTTTTATCTATACTAATATATGTATATAGCTGTTTTTTACGTATTATAGCCTACTAGCATTGCCCGCGGCTCCGCTCGCGTTTAAACATTTATAAACCTTTATGTTGATGTGATCGCTACCAAACATCACAGGATCAGCCGCTGGGCTAATCTGAAGATTGCCTGAGAATTTCACCAAAATAGCTCGTTTTGGTGTCAATATGCAACATACATACACACATTGATTTTTATATACATATATAGATTGATTAAAAAAGAACGAAAGCGGAATAAGTCTACAAAATTAAACGATGCAAGCATATCCATGTAAAAATGCTAGTATAAATATAATACAGATCGGTTGTAATAATATTAGTAAGAATGTGGCTGTTTGAGAAAAGAATATTATGAGTTTTTCTTTATTATTAGAAACATACCTCTAATTGTCTGTTACATGACACATAAGCGAGTCTACTTTGAATGTCGGGTAGATTGGGGACTTTCACTGGAGTTGTGAATGGATTCCACCTGGAAAAAAATCATATCATGAAACAAATAAAATATTTATTTTATTAAATAGGTGTTTTTTATCTATATTAAAAAAACACCTATTTAATAAAAGAAGGAGACGAATTAAAGACAGATATTTTTTAATTTAATAATTGTACTAAAAATATTATATAAAATAAATTTAAATAAAGTCCACTCAGAGTGGAATCCTAAATGATATTTCACAACATTTTTAATATGATTTTGATGATTTCCGTGTACTTTTTCAATAAAAAAATAATTTAAACATTTAAATCTTAAACGCACCGTTTCCATAGCAACCACCATCCAGACAAATCATCTCCATAGTTAGTGAGATCAGTATCGTCTTGGGAGCCCACATCAATGGCAAGAATGTGCTTAGCCCCAAAAGACCTCATCACGTCCGCTGTAAATTACATAAAATTGTTGTATTACAAATAATAATAAACAATATATAAAATACAAACAATTTTTAGCACGACAAGAATTTTACATACATATATATTTTACCTACATAATATCCTGGCTTCGCTAGGATGCGTCCCTATAGCGTTTAAATTTCGAATATATACGTTTTAAATTACGATTTAAAGATGATTAAGATAAACATAATATAATATGTCCCAAAAAAAATTGCGGACTTTTCTGTGAGTGCTTTTAAGACCTACGATTTTTTAGTACATTGTTGTGAGTTTTGATGTATCTCTTGGTAGTAGACAGAAGCAGTTATTATATTGTCCCGTGGGAGCAAAATATGTCCATGTAGTAAGAGATATCCTAAATGTTGACCCGATTAATAAGTTATCACTTCACAAAATTTAGTTAAAATCGGTTCATTAATTTTTGCGTGAAATGCACACAAATATACAGACATACAAAGAAAAATTTCATTAACTATTGTTTTGAGGTCTATACTATGTACACAATACGTAACAGTATTTAAAAAATATTTCATGTACAAATTTTGCTTTGTTACTATTTTAATATATGTATGTTTATATCAGTGAAAACATTATACTGAATTAACTTTAGATCTATTTAATTGTATATTTATAAGAAGTTATAAACTAACCTGGCACATTGTTCACATAACAACCGTCCAACAAAAGATGACCGTCCATTGTATCGCAAATCGGTGGGAATATACCAGCGATGCTCATCGAAGCCCGGCAGTACCTCCATAGCATGCCTATTCAAACACTGTACTACTATTTTGTCTGAGCAATTGGTTAATATGTATCCTAGCTAGTGTTGCCAGTAATTGTCAGACAAATGCCAGTGTTGCCATCACTTACCTTCATTAACTGAGTGTAAATATTAGTTCGATTTGCTGACACTAGGTTAAGTCGAGATATTGTACAAAATAAAAAATAGTAAAAAAATACGAAAAATGCTAAAAGTTACAACATCATTCGACCAAACTTAACAGTAGAAAGTGCAAAACTATGGAAAATACCGAAAAATCCCAAAAACTAGACATAGAAATATTTACACTCAGCCTATAAAAAAACCGGATTACTTATAACGCATTCGATTGGTCGCCCCCTTCGCAACGGTGCGTTGTGATTGGTTTACCTGGCAGGTTGTTGACGTAACCGCCGTCCAATAGGAGGTGGCCGTCTACTGGGTCGCAGAGTGGGGGCATGTACCCGCTCAGCGACATCGACGCGCGTATGTAACGCCATAGGGAACCTGCGATGCGCTTTACGGTTAATATGCGTTTAGCGTTTTGAATACGCGTTTTTTTAACGGCTAATTTGGACACATTTTTACTCCAATCATATTCTTTTTTTTATTTATATATCCCGCCCGTTAACAGTGTGAATTAAGGAAAGATTTTGTGTAGTTTAAATATATATAACACAATCCATGGAAAGGAAACTGTGATAAGAGATAAAAGAACAGCCAACCAACAGGTTGTAAAAGTGCAATAACAAGATTGAGTGGAATAATAAAAAATAGTAAATATATCCTTTTCGACCTTTATTTATTGACAATATTATCTATCATATCATATTTTTGACTATCTGTTATATTTGACAGAACACCAAACGATGTTTTTAACAATCGAAATCAAAAACCTTTTTAACCAATATTTCTAATGCAATTTTTTCGTTACATTGAAAATAATAATTTGTAAAAAATTCAAAACGTTTCATACATATAAATTAATGACACAGTATAAAAAGCGCATAAATAACGTTATTAATGTAAAAAAAACTGAAAATGATAAAACATGCCGGTACAAGTAATGATAACACCAACACAATATTAATAGAGAATTTTGACGTCATGCCATGGTTTATATAACATATGTACTATAGAAGGGATTTAACTTCAAGATATATGTATACATGAAGATTCAACTGACGTTCCATTTTTTAGTTATTTTTTGTTAATGGATTTTTTAACATAATCTGAACCATTACGTGCAAAGGAGTACAACTAAATGACAGCATGCGAAAGACGTTCCTGAGACTATGTACGTAAGGTCTAAATTTCTACGACGAACTAGCAGATAACTACAGTGATGAGATTTAAATTAAGAAATTAGAAAAATAATGGAGAACCACACTCATGCATATACATGGAGATGGATACTATAAATGAATGACGTGAGAGTGAGAAGATACATTATTACCATCCAACCCGACATTGGAAAGTTCAATAAACTCCCAAAGTAAGTGTTATGCTGTAAACCAATCACAAGCGCTCGTTTATTATTATTATATTTTTTTATAAATAATGACAACACTAAGCAAATGTCGGATTCGTAAAGAAAAAAATCAATAGATTCGTCTCAACAATATTCATTTGTATAGAAACACACGCATATAACATTTACTGGACGTACACATAAATGCAAGTGAGTGTGGTTATGAAAGGACAAATTAAAAAAAATCACTGTAGCGGAAACAAATTAGCTCTAACTTCGTAGGAGTATATTCCTTATCTGTATAAGCCTCCATCGAAGCCCTGACGTCACATCCATCATAGATATCGAAAATCGTATGATGGCATAGACAATCCGCAAAAAAAACATAAAACGTATATTTTACAACATTGCCACATCTGGTCAGCAGGACATTGTTTAAGCAACATATTTAATAGCATGCATTAAACATCAAAAATTAAAAAAATACACCTAACTGTCAAATATTTTTATTGTTTCTCACTCCATATAAATCGTTTGCTTTTGTTGGTATATAAGTTATCGCAGTTATATAGTTGACAGCAAATATATTGGTATGTTTATGTAACTTTAATAAGTGAACATTTAAAAATAAACATTATATTTGTAGAAAATAAAACCCATGGATGGTGGCTTTTAAAACCCCATATCCAAAACAATATTTAGGTTAGTGTTTGTGCGAAGAAGCAAATCATAACAATAAGGACACACAAATTTTCCTGTCCATGAATGTGTTGTGTTAATTATGAATTATTTTGAAATAAGTATTAAAAATAAAATAAATTTATAACTATTTATAAAAACTGCTAAAAATTTTAATGAAACTTTCAGAATGATACAATGTATAATATAATATATGTATATCAATAAAAAAATTCAAATCAACCAACTTTTACATTAAAACTGAACATACTCACGCTTTTAACACACTCAAATTAATAAATTATCCTAAATGTCCTCAATTTTTTTTTTAACAGAATCCATTTCAATAAAGAGCATACAGTTATAGCTGCACTATAACATCATATTCAAATATATCTAACATATTATTTAGGGATTAAATTACATTAATTTTTAAATAAACCTATCTTTTCCGATTTTTTCGCGGATTTATTTTGATTTTTAGTTCCCGAAGTTTCGAATGCTTTAAAGCAATTTTTGAATTTATCAAATCATTTTGTAAATTTGTAGGTAGGCACTGTAACAATTATATACCTCTGAGAAGTCTAAAACCTTAAGTCTTTCCATGACCATGATTGCTGTAAAGTCGGGAATCAAAAATCAAAATAAATCCGCGCAAAAAGCCCGGAAAGACTTGTATATTTCAAATGTCAAATATTAGCGTAAATCTAAGAAAGTATTACATTAATTAATTTATTCTTAAATATGTATATATGTACTTATATTTATCAGATAATAAATATATTAATTTATATTGGTTTTTAATATCACTCGGTATCAACTTACCATGTCGATGAACCCTCATACAGCTGGAGCTTATATCAGTGGTGACCGTGAAGTATGGGAGCCATAGGTCTTCAATATGGACTTCCCCAAAGGTCGCTTTTATCGTCGTATTGAATTGTTTCCCAGAGAACATTGAAGTTGCAGGATAAGTCAGGTCTAGAAGCTGTTTGCCCCATTCAGTCATTTTCTGGGGGTGAAAAAGTTGTTAGTTATGGTTACCATGGCAACCATTTTTACCGTTCAGGCTAGGTTCGATTCTTTTATACAGCAAATATTTTATCACTATGTCCTTCCTGCTTATCAACTTATTTTTTTATTACGGACGAGATCGAATTCAATATTTGTATGATCAACACAAACATTTAACTCGAATGAGTAGCTTTAATGTAATAGTATCAATTTTATAATATATGAAGTAATAAATCAAATAATAATTAAAAATAAGCATTTAATAAAAATAGTAAGATTTTACTTTAGACATTTACAAAACGCACCTTAGACCATTCCCTTGCTTTTTGTGTAACTGTTGTAATATTCCGGTCCATACACCACAGAGCTCCCATGAACGCTCCAATGCTGACTCCACCGACCATGTCGATGGGGATTCCTGCTTCCTGAAAATCATTAATACATAGAGGACAAAGTTATTACGTTTGTCTATATTTATGTGTACTCATAATAAATAAATATTATAAATGAGAAAGTTTGGATGGATGGATTTTTGTTTGTTATTCAATCACACCAGAACGACTGAACGGGTCTGGATGAAATTTGGATTATAGTCTGGAATAGCACATAAGTTACTTTTTATTCCGGAAAAACATACGGTCTCTGTGGGATAGAATTGATTGTGTTTTACACTAATTTCAGAGTTCAATGTGATCTACTATCTATTCCATACTAACCGTTAAAACGTACCTGGATAAGTCGCCAGTTATGTTCCAATTTAAGAGCCAAGGGCAGAGCGCGAAAGGAACATTATTCCTACTGGTGTCCCAAAACACCTCTCGACTTTTATTTTGTTTTGTCTAGTAATACCTGTACAGCACATATCATCCACTAGTACCAGCACAGGTACAGTACCTGTGCGGGGTCTCTACATAAGTAGTGTGATGATGTTCTCCTGACCGATTCCGGCCACGGCGGCCAATCTCATTGACACTAGCCAACTGCGCAGGAGATATTATAGTGCACAAGTGTGCGCGCAGACACAAGTGCACTCTCTATTCCTGTCACTCTCATACTCCGGTGGGACGACCACTCGACACGACCGGTGAGAGTTAAGGCGCAGGACCGACGGCTTTACGTGCTCTCCGAGGCACGGGGGTGAAACACCGCCAACTTCCCAACTCCGGGCTGTTATTGAGGCTTACTATACAGAAAGACTCAATAATTAAACTTGGCCTGACCTGGGACTCGAACCCAGGACCTCCGGGTGTACAGCCGTACCTGCTAGCCACTACACCACCGAGGTAGTCAGTAAGTAGTGTAGTACCTGTATAGCCCGTATCATGCCGACGTGCGCGGCACCGCGCGCGCCGCCGCCGCCCAGCACGAGCCCCACGGCCGTGGCCGTCAGCCAGCGCGCCAGCCGGGAGAAGTCCGAGTGCACGCTCGCCTCCGACATCAGCACTTTGCTGTACAGCTCGCTCTGCGGGACGATTGTTATTGTTTGTCATTTATTAACAAGAGTTTGTATTTAACATATTATATTACGTACACCCGAGCGAAGCATAGGGTAAATCTAAGTGTATTCAAATATGAAAACTTGTTCTTTACATAGGTTTTCTTATGATGTTTCCTTCGCCGTAGTGTAGTTTGCAGGAATATTAGGAAGCAACTTACCAATAAGCTACTACTACAGTTGTCATTATAAAATAACCAAAATATAAATTAAATCTACCCTTAAATACAAAAAAAAAGACAAAACAACACAAATCTGTCCAACTCGCTATCTCATACAAGACCTTCGTAGAAAACAACAATCATACCACTCATATAGCCCAAAAATATTCTCGACATCTCAAAATTAAACCAAAAATCAGCCACCAAAACCCATGAACACTACTCACAATCCTGTACTGGCTCTTCCTGGTGAACATGCGGTGCGGGCAGCGCACGTGGTGGTGCTGGCTGACCCACGAGCGCATGTTGAGCCAGTGCACGGTGCCCGACGGGTTGGGCCCGCCCTCGCGGTGCAGCAGCACCAGCTCCTTCTGCGTTCGGATCGCGAGACGTTCTATCTCTTTCTCTATCTGTTTTTGGAGTTAAATATTATTATTTTATTAATCCCTCAACGACCGCGGGCACACCAGTGTTACAGTTAACAATTAATTTCTTAAAAATTTACCGGATTTCCTAGAAATGTACCTGGAGTAGTTAAAATAAAACTAACCTTAATTATTCTTTATAACATCAGCTATCTGCCAGCGAAAGTCCCGTCAAAATCAGTCCAGCCGTTTCAGAGATTAGCCGGAATAAACAGACAGACAAACGAAAATTTGAAACAATGTGTTTTTTCTTATAAGTACAGTTCCTTATAAAAAGCTGTTATTTTGACATTATCTGTATTATTCTCATTACGTATTTACAAGTGCAATTATTTACTAATTGCAGGTAACGCCTGCGACGGATGTTATTATTTCACATCATAATTAATTTCTTCTTCTTCTCCCTGCCCATTTCCCAAATCACTTGGGGTCGGCGCAGTACATCTTCAGTGTACTGCTGATAGGATTTGGCAAAAGTTTTACGACCGGCCGCCTGCCTGACGTCAACCGTCCTTGGGAATGCTATTGTCTTTCTTTGTCTGAATGGTGTTAAATATTATGCACTTTCGATTTTGTTATGTTTTAAAACATTTTTTTACTATTAATTCAATTATTAATGTTATTTTTGGATATATTTTAAAATAAATTTCGATTACATAATAAATTTTGTATTGACATTGTCAAATTTTTTCTTCCTTTCATCATAATTAATTTGTAAACTAAATTTAATTCAAGTGTTTCAACATGAAGGAATAACAAACATACACTTTTATTTGACTATTTACAATAATAGTGTATATTTATATTATATTGTTAATATTGAAATTTTATGTAAATTTTTTACATTCATATTCCACAATAACGCACATAAAAATTTTACGCACATCGAATACCCATATCGTATATATAAAATTAATAGTTCTGGACGTTTCAATAGATGGCGCCGCTAAATATCATTAAAAAAACAATTTCACACAGGCAAAGCTGCAGGCACAAGTTCGTAATATTACTTATAAGTAAATTTATATATATTTATATAAATTAGTACGTAAAATGACTCACTTTTCCAATACTAGGTTGTTTATCGCCCAGAGCTACTATTAAGATGCAGTCGGCTTGACGAATGCAACGTTGGGTCCATTGAGTCAAACTTGGGTCGCACTGATATAGCGCCACCTAAAATTAAAAAAAAAGTGTTTTGTAATACTTTCTTAGATTTACGCGAATATTTGACATTTTAAATAAAACTATCTTTTCGGATTTTGTCGCGGAATTATTTGTATTTTTGTTTCCCGACGTTTCGAATGCTTTACAGCAATCATGGTCACGGGAGAGACTGAGATGTTAGATGTCTCTAAGGTATTATATAGTTGTTACAGACAGCCTACCCACAATTAACAAAATGAATTCAAAAAATTGAAAAATGGCACTAAAGTACCTTACAATATTTTAACTTTAAACATTTCTATATAATTTTAATTAGCTTTATAATTGAATATAGAATATTATTTATTTAATTTGAGCTGTTATTATTATAATTATTACAATTTTAAAAATATTAATTATTAATCTACATTTTTAGTGTTGCCATTATTATATTTATAACCATAAAGAAAAAATCATAATATATTAATTATTTAAGCCACAATTGATCTATGTGTAATTTGAAAAAGTTAAGATTAATTAAAAATAATAATTTTAATTTAAATTTGCTATTATTTAAAAAACAAATTATTAAGCAACACATTACTACATACATTTACAAATGAAATTTCATTTGAATTTAAATTCATTTTGTTAATTGTTGGTAGGCTGTCTGTAACAACTATATAATACCTTAGAGACATCTAACACCTCAGTCTCTCCCGTGACCATGATAGCTGTAAAGCATTCAAAACGTCGGGAAACAAAAATACAAATAATTCCGCGACAAAATCCGAAAAGATAGTTTTATTTAAAATATTTAAAAAGTGTTTGTTTTAATTTTATACCAAAAGGACATGATATCTGCTCAAACTGGTAGTTCTATATATAAATAAAGATAGTTATTGTGAGCGTATCTTAGGAGATAGACAAATGCCATCGCAGACTTTTCTGTAGGCCATTTTAAGACCTACAATTTTCTAGTACATTGTCTTGATATATCCTTAAAACTTAAAGGCTTAGCCACGGTTAGCTATGTACTACACTGTGTATACTAATCTAAATAAAAATGAATCACTGAAATGTATGTACGCGCATAACTTCCGATATTTTTTTTTTGTTTGTCAGGAGAAGTTTTGTATAGAAGAAAATTACAAGATTTTTTTTCTAAAATAAGTTTTTTTTTTAAATCTTATGATATGAAAAGTGAGTGAGTGAAATAGATTTTATCCTGGAAATTATCCCTTAAGGGGGTGAGAATGGGGATGAAAGTTTGTATGTAGAAGCAAGTTAGGTACGAACCCTAGCGAAGCGAGGGTGAGTCGTTAGTTTTATACATAAACATCCCTCGTTTATCGCTTTTTCTATTATTAAAAACCAAATCAAAATAGTGTTGCGTAGTTTAGAAGAAGAAACCGTTTAGGAAAAGAAATAAAATATAAAATAAAATCGCGACAAAATTGGAAAAGATAGTTTCATTTTAAAATATCGAATATCTCGTAAATCAAATAAAGTATTCTTAGTCCTGTTCTTTACATTCGTACATATATAGAATCGTAAGTATGTAATTGTAAATAAACTTAATAAATAAATAAATATTTGAAATACGCGTTAAATTGTGTCTATAATCTGGGTTTATTTAAAAATAAAACGTAAAACTATCGATAGAAGAAACCCAACCAAATAATTAGTAAATGTTCTCGAAGCACTGTATAACTATCCCTACTTGCCTTATGTTTGTCTTCTTGCTGAGCGAGCCAGGAACTGAGGCGATATTCGTTATTTGGATCCATTATAGTCAACCCTAGGAGTTTCCTTATCACATCTGATGTAAGACGTACAGTTGGACCTGTAAGAAAATGGACAAAATACTAGATTATTATATATGCGAAATGTTCTAGGTGTTTGTATGTTTGTTACTCCGGATTACTCCAGATTCAGATTTGGATAAAATTAAGTATACATAGAGACTACGTCCTGAAGTAACGTTAAGGCTATTTTTAAGCATCTAGGGACGCACCGGAGCGAAGCGAGGATAGATCGTTGCCGACCGTACCGAAAAAATAAAACTATAAAACTGGATATAGCTCTTATTACAATACTAAAAAGTATTTTTTTATATGAAATATATAAAATGTTAATAATTGTGTCGGCTAAATTTAGGAGTAGACTAGGCTAGACCAGATCAAATAGAAACGACAATCGCTTGGAGGACATTAAGTCCAAAGGTATCGATCCGAAATCCTCATTCACATGATGAAGCTCTATAGATTTAGTAACTACCTGTAAGGAGGAAGGTGGTAGGTTAAAACACAACTTACCAATAGCACACAGCGAGTGGTACAGCTCGTAGGTGAAGGCGGTGAGCGGCACGTCGTCGCTGACGGGCACCACGGCCACCGTGCTGAAGTTGTGCTGCGACGGCCGCGACTCCATGGCGGCCGCGCCCGCCAGACCCGCTGTGGGCTTCTGCCAAGACCCTGGTAAGGTATGTTATTGTTATTCTTACAATAATGAATAGATGTTACATCTATTTAATCATTTCTCTTGTGATAGCATATAAGTTACTACTACTACTAGCAGAACCCACGACTTCGCTCGCGCTAAAACTAAAAAAATATCTAAAAAGATATATTCATGATATTCACGAGATTCATGAAAAGTTTCATCCAATATTTTCAGCCCTCCAACTATCTCCACACAAAAAATTACGCCAATCCGTCTCTCCGTTTCGACGTGAAATAAGAACAGACAAACAAACAAACAAACACACTTTCACATTTATAATATTAGTATAGTATGGATACCTCTAAAGAATTAAATCTTCACTCAAACACTGTACAAAAATATAATAGGCGATGACATCAGTAAATACCATTTTATGTGGCTAACGGTTTCAAAATTAAAGCACTGCAGTGCCATCTCTCTCACTCAACCTCAAAGCCCTTTCCCAACCGTCACGTACTAATTATGACGCGTCTCTCTAATCTCTATATCTATACACATGACAAAACAATAACTCAGCGAAACCGGCACATGAAATAATTTTTTAAAACAATGACTAGCGTATTGTGTACAGAATATAGACCCCAAAACAATAGCTATTAAAAACTTGTTATTTGTTTATCTATGTTTGTGTGCGTTTTTCACGCAAAAAGTACTTAACCGATTTTAACTAAATTTTGTGTAGTCATAACATATTATTCAGGTTAACTTTTAGGATATAGGATACCTGTTACTACAGAAAAAAAATTGACTTCCTCAGGGAAACATCATAACTGATTTTGTCGAGTCGACCTTAGAAATTTACATAGCTAACGCTGGCTAAACTCTTAAAAGTTACATCAAAATAATCTAATAGAAAATTGTAGGTCTTAAAAATGCTTAAAGAAAAATCTGCACTGCATTGTATAAGTCTTTCTCCTAAGGTACACTCGCAAAAACTATTATATATAAATCAAAAATGTACCTAGAGATGTACATAAGTCGCTAGTTATTAATAAAGTTAAAATAAACTTAAAAATCATATTACTCACCTAATATTCTATGTCCCAACAAATTAATAAGACGTGTGACCACAACCGGGAATCGAAGTTTAATCGCATTGAATAAACCTTCTGGCAGCTTCGCTAGTTCAGAGTCTCTTACTGCCATTACTGTTGTACTACGACGGGTTTGCGTGACCATCTCCACCTGAAAGGTGACAATTTAATGAGATTAACTAATTTAAAGAAAAAAATACGTGTGTGTGTGCAATTCACACATGGTAGAAGTGAAACTTAATATTATACAGTTGTCAGAAAATAACAACGGTTACCATGGCAACATGGAAATGTATTCTATCTCATTCTCTCGCCGGCTTATATATTTATGTATTTGTCTCTTTTCAGTGTCGCATTTCCTTTTCATCGAGTTTCAAATCACAACGATTCTAAAGAAGTTTCACTTCAAAAAATTATACATATTATCATTGATATACAAAAAACCGAGATTCACAATTAGCGTTTCAAAAGTGTGCTCAAAAAGAAGCGCACAATTCGAAATTATGCGCTTTTTTCACATCCCTTTGGTTCATTGCTTTTCGAATGATAATTTTAAAAGGCAAGTTGTTTCGTTTGAAAAAGTACTGTATGTGGTGTGCGTAAGTTCGAATTTGTGTTGAGACAATTAGAACTTTCCATTTTAAAATTCATTGAAATGTGTATCTATTGTTTTTATATATCAATGTATTATCCAAGAATTAAAAAAAATATATACAATTATTAAAACAGAGCATCATTCTCCGTCTTTTTAAACATATTTTTTTATACAAAAAAAATAATAATGTAGGTTTATTATAACTTTTTATAAATCAACCTAACCTTTTCTGAGAGCTTAATTAAAAAAAAATGCCAAAAAAGTCTTACAATGCCAACTAAATCTCCCTTGCCGTATTCACCAACGAGCTCCTTCTTGCCATTTGGATGCGTTATGACAGAACGTAACCTCCCACTCAGTACTATAAACGTAGAACCTGACTCTTCATCTTGTCTATACACTGCCCTTCCAGATTCTAAGAAAACCTGAAAGCCCATAGATTAAAAAGGGATTAAATATTAAAATTAAAAGCTTTCCGTCGCTATTTTTTTTAAGTATCAGCGCACGAAAAAAATAGTATCTATGGAGAGACGACACTTAAACATTAAATGTTATTGGACCTAGTATTAAATTAATACAAAAAAAATCTTGGAGGTGAGCTTTATTGGCTACAACACAATTTTCAACTAATGTATAGTACAATATATAATGTATCTTTTCAGTTTGTTCCAGTAAAGATTTTTATTTTATTGTTTATTTATTTAATACAAACATAAATATTTACAATACAGTATCTCAAAGCGTCACGTTTCCGAGATATTTTTGAAGATAAAAATCATATAAGAATTAGAGCACTATAATTATTTAAATAAAGCTAACGCAATATTAGGCAATTAGAATTTTTCTATTAATCATCATTCTTTAGTTTGATCATCCATCACTTCTATTAATAAATATTGTTTGCATTGCAAATTTTACACAATAAAAACTACAATCTTCATTCAACTGACCCATTCATTCACTCACTCTATACTCACCCAATCCAAAGCAAAGTCCACTTGTCGTACAAATGGCGACAGCCTCCTCACAACGGAGCTGGCTATGTGCAACACGACGGAAGGCCTCTCCCGCATGATGCTGTACACCGTCGTCTTAGATAATAGGCCGATACGTGAAAAGTGTTTAGCTCTAATTGAGAAGAAACTTGGCTCCCCAGTTAACACTGCTAGCCCGCCTTCGACTTCACCTGTTTGAATTATTGAATATATTATAAATGAGCGAGATGCTGAAAAGATATAGTCCCAAATATATTTTACAAGCTCAAATTTATGAGCATGAAATAAAAAAAAAGTTGGAAAATTACAACCTTTTTTCTCCTACCAGTATTGGTTAAGTTGAATATACATATTGCTTTTTTTAATACTACCGCTATAATATCAAAAGATCTTAAGAGAGTGTTATCACATCACAAAGAGTTTTCTCAACCAAACAAATATTGCGCTAAGATTTCCAAACTAAAACAGTTCAGCCATATTCAATGAATAAAAAATAATACTTTACATAAAGCTATCTTTTCTATTGTCTGTAACAAGTATATAACGCCTTTGAGACGTCTAAAACCTTAGTCTCTCCTAACGATTGCTGCAAAGCATTTGAAACGTCAGGAATCAAAAAATAAATCCTCGCGAAATAATCCGAAAAGATAAAAAATTCAAAAATGTCAAATTTTCGTGTAAATCTAAGAATGTATTAAAAATAATATTAAAAATTCAGTATTAATTTATGAACTCACCAGGATATGCTGTGAACATATGAACCTCTCCTTCTCCCTCAGCAACCTTCTGCGAGACGAGGAGTGCGCCCGAAAGAAGATACACCAAAGCTACGTCCTGGTCAAAGGAAAATTCTCAACAAACTATTTATTATATAAAAACAATCGCCTAGATTCTGATCGTAATATAAAAATAGAAAAGAAAGACAAACTAAAAATATATTTTTTTAATTGTGAGCAGAATCTAAGCACACTCTATAAAAACAAAACATGACAATTATTTTATATGCCAACTTCATCATATCATTCTATGACATCAGCACATTAAAAAATTTAAAAAAAATGTATAACTGTTTTTCTTACACAATAAATTAACTAGTGACTTACGCCACTTCTCACGTCTTATTCATTTATAATATTTCCACACTCGCTTCCCTTTATTATAAAATATCACTCTTTATCCATACTAATATTATAAATGCGAAAGCAACACTGTCTGTCTGCCTGACTGTCTGTTACCCTTTTACGCTTAATTCGCTGAACCGACTTAGATGAAATTTGGTATAGAAATAGTTTGTGACCCTGGAAAGAATATAGGATAGATTTTATCCCGGAAATCTTCCGTTAATGGAGTGAAAAAGGGGGGCGGAAGTTTGTATGGAAAATCGATCATTTCTCAAGTAAAGGATATAAAACTTATCATACCTAAGTATATATAGTCTAACTATTCCATACTAAGTGTCAAAACGTACTTAGGACGGACCCGAGCGAAGCGAAGGTGTGTCGTTAGTTTTCTATAAACACCAGATTATGTAACTCATCTTTGTCTCTAACAGCAAAAACCATAGGATTTTCATACTATCATTGCCATTCAAATTTTATTTTAACGACAAAATTTAGCCTATGTCCTTCTCCAAGATCCCATCTATTCTATACCATAATTCATCAAAATTGGTTCAGCAGTTTACGTGTGGGAACGTAACAGGCAGTTACTTTCACATTTATAACATAAGTATTGATAAATAAATAAGTGCTTAATTATGACATAACCGGTTCGACTTTTAGAAAGATCTGCAATGAGAAGTGAAAAAAGATAGAGATTGTCGATTTGAGAAAAGCAAGCGAAGCGGGTTCAAATCCCGACTCTCTCATCTCTAATATTTTTATGTTCGAATCATTTCCAATATGATTACCACTTGCCTCATGGAGAAGGAAAACATCGTGAGAACCTAGCAAGTTTCCCAAAGACATGCTCAGTCCGCCTACCCGCACTTGGTCAGCGTGATGGACTATGACCTGATTAAATAAATAAAGAACCTCGTCTTGGGAAGCCCGTGCCCAGCAGTGGAACGTTATAAAAGGGTTAAATACTAATACGTCCATAAGTCATCATAAATAACATAAAAAAGTAATAAGTCTTAATATGATATAGTGATGTTGGCATATATTTCTGAAACCTCACATTCGTCTAATGAACTATATATCTAGAATGTTCTATAATGGTAGATTAAATGTTATCACGAGAGTGGTAATGAAATTATTTTCATATATTTTATACAATGGCGATACGACGTGTTAACAAAAAATTCACACCACTCTTGATAAATCAATATCTACCTGAACAATTTCTGGCTCACCCGCGACGCTGTAATACAGCTTCAGGGAGGAATCAAACAAAATTTGTTAATTATATGTATGTGTTAAACATTTTTTTTATAATGTATGTAGATGTAGAGTAAAATAGTGAATACGGATTCCAAAATGTACTTAAAACAAGACTGTCAATGCAAGTGTTTTTAGCACAATTATTGCTTAAACGAATAATAATTAATAAATATATAATAAATATGAACAACACTACATACAGGGTGTATTAGGAAATTTTGCGTTGATCATAGCTCATTTATATAGGAAAAAAAAGTAATCAAAACAAGTAAAAGTAATAATTATTCCATTAAATAGTTTACAACGACCCAGGCTGCGGATTCGAATCTCACAGTCTATCATAACTTTAATATTCTCCAAATTTTACTTCATAATACCAAGTACATATTTTTAAATGATAAAATATGGATATAAGTACAATACACCATTAGCGTTACCCATAAAAAAACCATATTGCACGGACAGACAAAAAATACTAATATATCCACAAACCTTATGACTTTCTTCTTTCATAATGTACGTTCCAGCCGGTAAGTCCCGTACTTGTACGTTCCCTTTGAGAACTGAGTCGTCTTCTAGACCAAGCTCTTTTATGAAGGCTTCTGTTGCTATTTGTATTAAAGCCTGAAAAATACAATGAAAGTTGACATAATCACATAATAATTTATTATATTTACGCAAATATGTAGACATTTCAAATAAAACTAAATTTTTAGATTTTTCGTAGATTTATTAGATTTTTGGTTCTCAACGTTTCTAATGCTTTACAGCAATTATGGTCACGGGAGAGACTAAGGCTTTAGACGTCTCAAAGGTCATTATGTTAGTTGTTATAGACAGCATATACCCACAAAATGATATAATGATTTGAATGATAAAAAGCAAAATTAAAATTTTTGAAATAACCCACGACGTTTAAAAAGTAATTGAAAAAGGATAAAATAATTTAAAAAATGTAAAGCGAGATAATAAACGTAAACAAAAAAAAGTAGAGCTGATCTCTCGCGGAGTCGGTCATATATGTAAACAATAGAGTATCAATTTTCATAGCATTTCCCTGCATACCTACCTATTTGGTTCTCGATGATTCTATATGTGGCTATAGCATATTCAACTACCTATAAACTTAATAAAAAAAACCAAGAATATCCGTCGGGTGCTGCCATTAAATGAACTAGTTTTGCAGTTTTATAGTAACATTAATAATTTGAAATTTTTTACCGCTACACTTGCACCCTTAATGGGTAGACCGTGCCCCTACAGTGGGGACCTTTAGAATTTGATGCTGATACATATTTTTATTTACGATGAAATTTAACATAGTGATGGTAAATAAAAAAAAAATATGAAAATTTGCCAAATGTTCAACATTTGCATATAATATTATACCTTGAAACGAAGTCGAACTAGGTCGCTATTTGGAAATAATTGATGTGTTAATATTATCTATTATGAGAGTAGAAGATTTATTAAATTAAAAAAAAATACCTGTTCATCCAAATTATCCGTGTAATGTTTCTTGAAAGAAGAACCTTCCTTAGGTCTTTGGAAAGATGACGTTGGCTGTACATCTGGTTGTGACTGTAAAAATGTAGACATTTGTTACTTTAATTAAAAAAAACTTATTATGTTAATAATTTTAATAATAATATAATAAAATCATTTTAATACGTCAATTTAATTTATCATCAATTAGATTTATCGCCTATGTACTGACAAAAGATCAACAAATAACAATATATGTAATGTAATTAAGTCATTTTTAGATCGATCGATTTAAGATAAAACTTTTGTATTTAGGTTCATTTGTTTCCATAGAGCATTATCCACCAATTCATCATAGTGTCTCAAAACGTTTTTTTTTTATGTTTCTTAATTATATTTATTACAACAATAACAAAGTATTACAAAAATAACCAAAAAATCTTAATAAATAAGAAAAAAAAACCATGCCTTAGCATACTGACATAAAACAATCCATCACATAAGTAAAAACTATAAACCATAAACAAATTAATTAAAAAAAAAAGTTTAGCTATTAGGATGAAATTTTTTGACATTTTTAACACCTCCAGGTAAATTTCTAAGAAATTAATTAAAATTCTAAGAAATCTATTGTTAACTGACACGCCGGCGTGTCCGCGGTCGTGGAGGGATTAATCTGTTATCTATTATTTTATTACCTACGATGACGTTTATTCACATTTTTGAAACTTCTTTAGGCGTGACTAAGGGGTAAGTTAATACATTTGAAAAATAAGTGTCGCGGAAGTGAGAGTGAAATTTACTATTCATAATTTAAAAACGAATATTTATTACTAATAATTTTATAAAAAATATTATATTTATATTTTGGTTTGTTTTAATTTAATTGCGGTACCTGCCACATCAACAAAGAAGTTTTATTTCAAGCGCGCGTAAAGGTTAGCTACACGCACTACGCACTCATTTATGAAGTTATACTTCTTTTAGGGCGTTTAGAAAAAATATGAGAGTAAAATTTTTACGATGCGCTCGCAAACCGACAGCCAAAAAGCGACATGATGAAGTTAGCTGCATTCCTTTTACAAACAGAGAGTTATGACATACAGGATGAAATCCTTAGCTATTTTTGTTCTGTTACCCCAAAGAAGTATAACTTCGTACACACATTTTTTTTATCTGTTATCTATTATTTATTACCTGTGACGCGTTCTGTGGCGTGTTGGAAGTGACGTCAGGCACCATGTCCGGCCGTTTCCTGCCTTGGATATGTATGGGGGAGGAGGCGTGCACTTGACTCTCCTGTTAGATTTTACGATATGTTTTGTTACTGTTTATGATTATGATATCGTAGATTTTGGAAGCAAAAACCATACCAGTCAATTAATTTGATTATTTGAGTCTTTAAAATTATTTTATTCTATGTTAGTACCTAGATCTCATGAACGTGTAAGGATTAAAAAAATGTTTAGAACTTTTAAAATGGAAAATATCTATTACCATTTCTATAAAAACCGTATTAGCAAAGTATAGAAATCCATGCAGTAGGTGAAAGGCGAATTTTAAAAGAAATTCCGTCAAATGCAACGGCTGTCAAAAAATACCAATATAAATGGCAAACGGTTGTAACAACCATACCCGTCAATACTAATGCCGTATCCCGACTTTCACATAAAAGTACGTATGACAGTCGGATGCGCCTTTCATTGGTGTCAGTATTAATAAACATAAAATCAAATCGTATCAAAAAATATACATTTTGTATTGACATATACATATATATGTCAATACAAAATTTGCAATTCTCATACAAATCTCTTACCAAATGGTCCGGAAACGTTCTCTCACTGTGGTGAGGGGAATGCATTGTAGTACTTGCATCTACTACTTTAACGTTTCTGGAAGGCGACGCCATTGTCGTGGGACGACGTTTCTCCTTACCCTGCAATAACAATTATTATAGTTTATTATTAATCCCTCAACGGCCGCGGACACGCCGATATTACAGTTAACAATAGATTTCTTAGAAATATAATTAATTTCTTAGAAATTTACCTGGAGATGTTAAGACAATATCAAATCGAAATAAAAGAACCAAATACAAGACACTTGGTATTATTGAAATTTGGGATTTCTTCCAGACAACTTTCGTGTTAGAACATTTGGAATACTAAAAAAAACTGCACATATCTAACACAATATAAACTTCATATATACAGTTAATGAAATTTATCTTTATACAAGAAACGTTAAGAATCCTCTAAAAATAAATAGATACGGATTTTTTCCTGTAAATATCCGCGGTTACGGATACAGATACGGATATACAGCACACCTCTAATATCTATATATAGAAAATTCACATTAATATTATAAATGTTAAAGCTATTTGTCTGTTTGCAACTTTGAATAGATTTCTATGGAATTTGGCTTTATCATTTAATCTCCTCACCGCTTCGATGTGACCAGAGCCGATGATAGTACTAGCTTTCATACATTTGTATAGATAGCGCTAAAAATTCGATCATACTGAGTCTTATGTAGTATAATAAGTTTTTTAGTCAACATTTTTACTTATTGTCCTTTTTATTGTGTGCAATAAAGAATAAATGAATGAATAAAAAATAAGTTTCTTATTTGTAGTTTCTAAAGATCTTTTCTAGCTTAATAAGCAAAAAAGCACCACTGCTTACAGCACTCAATGTTTTTGTAGGCCACGAGCAGTCTACAAAAACATTATAGCTAGAATAAGTAAGCAGTTTTTATGTTATTTAATATGGCAACAATGCCTGAACTGTATCTGTATTAACATTAAATTCACCGATACACTTTTAAACAACTATTTTGTAACGTAGTTCCTTAACGCATGTTACATTTGGCACACTTGGCAAATGAGAAATAGACGGAAAAAAGTGTAATACGTATTTCGATCGTCACGACACTTTTTATTATTTACTATTAAGGGCACCCCGAGTGACGTCAATATAAATATCAGGCGAGCATAAGTAATGAATGTATGTTGTAAAAATTTCGTGTACACTCTATGCAGGCCTTTCTTTGACGAACTTCAACATGTAGAATTTATGTTACTTAATATTTATGACTGCTCTTGTTTCAAGAACTTTATTCCTACCGGGTGTCCCACGACACTTGTCGACTTTTTTAACCTTTAGGGTAGAATTTTTGAACTCATTTGTTAAAGTAAGAAAATTGAAAATCGATTAACAATTGGCGAAGATAATACAGAACATAAAAAAAAACAAAAAAAAATTATAAAAAACCAGAGTTGCTCAAAAGTCGTTATTCTACCTATATATTTAATTTTATCTAACTAAAATAACTGTATAATTAGTAATTACTTACAGGATTCACTAACTCAGCACTTAAGCCTAGGTATTGATGAAGCGCAGTGAAAGTGACCCGCTGAAGACGCACCATAATAATCTAAAATATAAACAAATATAGCTTCAAATTACTGTATGGTTAACTTAAAAAGTGAGTCAATAAATGTATTCATCTTAAATTATTAATTAAACAAATATAGGGGAATAACAAGTATTTGTAAAATTGCCACTATTCCGCCATTTTATTTTCAATTTTTTTCCAATTTAGTGGCGCTCAATGAACCTATAATATATGGAGAGAAAACACATAGGGAAATAAAAAAAAACAGCAATATGGCGTCCTAAAATATCAGTTTTCCGAAATCTTTGAAGTTAAATATTGCCATAACAAATTAATGAAAATGATGAAAAAACCTTATTACATGTTATCGCCCCGATTCACCTTGTATTGAAGGGAGGCCCGTGCCTTTCAATCTGACATTTAAAAGGGCTAAATACAATAAAAACTACTTCAAGAGAAGTATAGAAATAACAAAAAGAATATTTCTTACCTGTATTACTCTAACGAATATATCAGGGTACTCTTTGAACACTTCTTGGAAGGCCCGCATTGGGAGCTTTATCACTTGCGAATCCTCTAATGCCTTCGCATTCACCGTTTTATATGGTTGAGAATGACCCTGATAATAAAAAAAATTGTAATATTGTTTATGAAATATTGTTCAGCATTTGTAGTGTAGGTTCGATGCTCGGTCAAATATAAAAGTAAAATGCAAAATATTGTACATTTTATTAAAGCAAAGTTTGTTAAAATTTGGATGAAGGAAGTATAGTTTTTTTTAATTCTTTCCAAAGCACAAAACTTTAATATTCGATAGTGTCAAAAGCTATTATCATTGCAATAAAGTGAGATTTCAGTTTGCAGCATTGTTTTGCAGGCCAAGGGACATTATGTAACAGATAATTGATAGGCCAAAGAGAGAAATGAGAAGTGATGTGGACCTTCCACCAGGTTTACTTTTGACGGTTTGGCCATAGGATAAGATTGTTTTGAAACCAGTAACATGTAAACCATTGAATGAAACCTATATCCACAGTGTCGACATCAGTTTAAGCGAAGACGATGGCAATTCAATTAGGATCTAAGCAAAACAAGAATGTCTAAATCTCAAAGAATCTCACCGTCAAGACATCTGTAAAGCTGAGAAGTGAAGTCACACTCTCGCCTGCGCGTACAATTTTCAAGGACAAACTTGTACCATCTGGGTTGGTTATGTATACATTTACCCGTCCAGTTTGCACCACGTATACATTTTCGTCTGTATCGCCTAAAATAAAGGATGTAAAATTTTGTTTTATAAAATCTATCTTTGGTTTATAAAATATATCTATTAAATCAAATATCAAATCCGTAAAACAAAAATTACAAGGGTACAAAAATTACGAGGCAGGTCAATGGTTCTATTCTAAATTGGTGTAAAAATTATATTTATTGCATAACCACTAGCTTTTGTCTGTGACAATCAGCCTTTATAATCTTTCTTAATCGGGTATAAAATGCAAATATTTTTTTTTTTCAAATCTGACTGGTAGTTAGTTACAGAGCTTCAAATTTTCCTACAAACAAAAAAAACAAACAATCTCTTAAATTTTAAAACATTAGTATTTTTATACTAATGTTTCTACCAATCTGGTCCTAACACAAGCACTACAACTAGTTAAAATATAATAGAGTAAAAAGCTACGAATAAATTATTTAGTCGTAGGTAACAAGTCCACAAAGACCTGTAAATCTCTTTAACTTGAAAAATAACAATAATAATAAGGTAACATAAATTAGTTTAAAAAAGTTCCATAAAAACTCGAGCAAGCAGATTAAATAAAACAAAGCCTTTCATAAAATAGCTTTAGTCATGAGTAATAATCGTGTCTAACGAAACTCGTCAACGAAATGAAATCGATTTTCTTTAGCGCATAATTGCATATCGGTTAAAGGCTGAATATGTTTATATCATATAAAATTATTTAAAAAAACGGTGTTTATTATATTATGTGTTATCTTAATAAAGATTTAATCTCGTCTTTCTGTGTTTGCCTCGCACCTCTGATAATTTGGTATGCGAATCATTTCCAACATTATTAGAATTTGTCTTGCAGTGAAGGAAAACATCGTGAGGAAACGTACATATCTGAAAGAACCTAGTAAGCTTTCCAAAGACATGTGAAGTCTGCCAACCCGCACTTAGCCAGCGTGCTGTATCATGACCTGATCCCTCGTATTAAAGGGAGACCCGTGCCAAGCAGTGAGACGTTGAAAAGGGCTGAATACAATACAGGTAGCGTCACCTTTGGGCAAGTTATATTTCTCATAGTAGCGTATGTGTTACTCCAGGTCAGGTCATTCTGTATAATAAATTTCATCCAAATCAGTCAAAATGGTTCAGCGTGTGAAGACGAAACAGACAAACATACATACACCCGCTTTTATAACAGTAGTGTGATTTTATCTATTACTAACTTCTGCCTACTTGATATTGATATCCGTGAGTTCTTATTAGCACAATTATCTAACACGCGTTTGCGTTAAAAATAAAAATTTGTTAGTTATTGCGAAAATACAATTTTTTAACTGTTATTTTACATAAATCCTAACATATCTAATTTACAAAGCTAACATCCTATATTTACTCTTAAACAAAGATCTCGATAGCATTAACGTTTCTAGTGCAAAGTAAAAAAAAATACAAATCGTCAAAACATATTACGTCAAAACAACTGACCGGCACTCTAAGTATTATAATTACGTATTTATAAGTACACTTGAAGAAAACCAGACTTGTCTAAAAATAAACAAAAATGGGAATGCAATATAAAATCTATAAATATCTGTTATCTATACATTTAATAAAATTGTAACTAAGCCAAATGTGGACATTAAATATTTTTTGAAAAATCTTCAATAAGATACTTTTTGGCTAATCTAATCATTGAAATAAACATTATTATCGATACAGAAGCCGAATCTATAGTTTTTAGAATTTTTGTCTGTCTGTCTGTTTGTTAGCGCACGGGAACACCACTGGATAGATTTTGATGAAATTTAGTATGATGATAGCTGGTTATCCGGGTCAACATTTAGGATACTTTTTACCGCGGAAAAATGTCTCATTTCTGAGAAAAATACAAAAACTGCAATGTAAGAGTACTATACTAATATGTAAAACGGGCGGTACGGGCGGAGCCGCGGGCAATGCTTGTTATACATTTAGTAGTAATAATTGTCCCTCTGGCAAGAGCATTTAAAATTATGATACACGTGAAATGTTTTATTATATTCGCGTGACAAAAGAAATAATTTATTATTTTTCTGTGGCTCTGCATATAAAGTGGAGCAGAACAAAACTCATGATACGAATTGCATTATATGACAAATTTCCTCAAAATCTGTTCATCGATTTTTATGTGAAAAGATCACAACGGACAAACAGACAGAAATACTTTAACATATAGTACAATATTGCTTATGATAGTATGGATTATAATATAATATGTACGTATAAATATAAATAATATGACACACATTTATGTATATTATGTATCTATGTATACATCCATTTACATATAAATAAAGTGTCGTGTATGATTTCAAAATAAATATGTTTTCTTAAGTACATAGTGTTATTTACATATACCTAAACAACTCTTTTTAAAATCTTTGCCTGTCTGTCTTTCTGTTTGTTCGGAATAATCTTTAGAACGGCTTTACCGATTATAATGGGACTTTCACTGAGAGATAGAAGAGTTTGTAGAGCTACATAATATGTTTTATTCAAGGTACATTCACAAAAAGTATCTAGGGACTATATGAGAATAAGTAGCAAGTAGAAAATAAAAATTTGAAAAATCCAGGCGCAGGTAAATTACGAGTATAATCAAACGTTGCAACATTTTATATACTGTTCCAAGAATATCCGACCCCATTTCCGATTTATAAAATTAACCTAGACTAGTTCAGCATTAGTATAATGTATACAAAGTGTATGTATTAATACATTTTTTACCATACAAATCTATTCTAATATCATAAAGAGGAAAAATTTTTTGTATCGAATAGGCTCCGAAACTACTGAACCGATTTAGATGAAATTTGATGAGAAGACAGTTTGAGACCCTGGGAAGCACATAGGATAGTTGTTATTCCGGAAATCATCCCGTTAGGGAATGAAAATGGGGTGAAAGTTTGTATGGAGAAGCTACTTAGGGACAAACCCGTGCGAAGTGAGGGCGAGTCGTTAGTAAATGAATAAATTTCGAGGCTTGTTTAAAAATAACATAAAATTACATTTAGTTCTGTTTAATTTTTCTTTAAATATCTACTGGTATTTCGGAAAAAAACATAACAGTAAAACAGTATAGAAATATTTTATATGCAGAAAACCTAGCTGGTTAGTGATATTAATTGGCATTAGAATAGAGTGAGTAAAATGTAAACGTCTAAGATCAGTGATTCAAAAGTGCTTGTATAAGTCTAATTGAATGTAGTTCAATTTCAGATGACAAGGAACATTTTCACGTATAAAATGACTTAATATAAGAATTATTATCAACTAGCGTTTCCCGCGGCTTTGCTCGCATAGTCCATAGTAACGTGATGTTAGATGCTCTGTAACATATTTCAAGAATTGGCCTATGAAATGCAAAAAAACCGATAGGTGGTTCCAGAGCTTAGCGCGTTCAAAAAAAAAACACAAACAAATTCTTCAGCTTTAGCATACCTATTAAAATATATACATTTATAACAGTCACAATAAATAAAATTCATTCATGTAACATTATAAACCGATTATACCTAAATATATACGTGATAACGTACATATGTTAAAATGATAGGTAAATAAAGGTAAAAATTGTGCTAAAATTCCATTTTGTATTATGATAATAACATTTTAAATGAGACAAATAGAGCGTATATTAAAAAAAAACTTTGTATTTTTTTAAATATAAATAGGTCATACATAATATAAAAAAATCACAATCATACCCGAATAGTCTATACTTTAACTCTTTACTTCGTTTATCGCACTTTTCTAAGTTATCTCAATCTAAATAAGCTAATCTTTTAATAAAACATATTAGTTATAAATAACTTACCAACTTTAAAAAGAAATGATCCAGCGGGCAAGTTAAGTATCTCTGTGTGTTTACAGAGCATGAGGAAGACAGGTTTTTCGAAATGTCCAAACACTCTTATACTATGTAACATGTATAGAGCGTCTGGAGGTACACGATCATCACTTGTTAGGTCCTCTTCGAGATATTCCGCTGGCGGTTCTAAGACCTGATAAAGGCATTTGAGCATGAGTACCGTGGTTTTCCAATTTGACTTTTAATGTAAATTTTTTTTAAATACGGACATTGCTTGTTACCTTATAAATAATTTCGCATCGTTTTTTTAATAAGTATAAGATTCAATTTAAATAAAACTATCTCTTCGGATTTTTTCGCGGATTTATTTTTAGTTCGCGACGTTTCGAATGCTTTACAGCAATCACGTTACCGCTTAGCGTCCACTGTCGTTAAATGTCAATAATACGTATACGTAAAACAAATAAAATATGAATAAAGTAACCTTCTCAATAATAATAATCAACGTCCATAAGCATCAAATGTCAGTTATCGCAAGGCAGTAATATATTTGTTCATAGACAAATAATTATACGCATATGTACAATGTACATGCAAAATACAACTTAATAGAACAATGTTGTTATCTTATTAAATGGAAATAATTATAAATATTACATAAACTCATCGACGCAAAAACGCAATAAATTAATCGCTCCGGATAATGTATTTCAGTGCTAGCTCAGTGATAGCACGATATCATTTGGAATACCAAGTGGAACAGATTCAAACCCTGGTCTTGTACCTATGCGAACAGTTTTAACATTATTACCAGCAGCGTTGCCACCTACCAGCCTAACTAGTTTTCAAAAGATGTATGAAGTCCGCCAACCTGTACTTATTGTGTGCCTTATTAGTATGGTAAAATATGGCTATATGTTAATCCGGATAACGAGCTATCACCATACCAAATTTCATCAAAATCCCTCCAGTGGTTTTTCTGTGATGCGGTAACAGATAGACAGACAAACAGACAAAAATTCTAAAACCTATAGATTCGGCCTCTTTTTCAGTAATAATTTTTATTTCAATTAGATTAGCCAAAAAGTATCTAATGTACAGATTCTGCTTATTCACAATTTTATTATATGTGTAGATTATGATTCTAGTATTTTATATATCAAAAAAATTATACATCTAGCGAACAAAACAAGGCAGTTTTTTTTAAATGAAGTTTTACCTTTAATTGCTCAGGGGCAGATTCTTTCTTCAACTGTAGCAGCTTTCTGGCGAACCTCATCACCGCACGCCTCTTCCTACCTTGTCCAGAGTTTGAGATTGATTTAACCTTTCTCAGCATCCTTCGACCATAGAATAGCATTTTGTCTCGTTTTCTGAATCTCTTCGCTGGTTCCCCGGAGGCCGTTGTTCCGGGACAACCTAATAACTCTAGAAAAATCAATTGTTTTGTAAATTTATCACACATCTTATGTTACTTGAGTATAGTTATCACTTGTTATAGTTACCTTTGGTTTGACATCGTCTATAGTAATAGAAAAATACTACTAAAAGGGATACTAATAAACAGCCGCAGAACGAATACAGCAACTGTAAAGAATGAAGATATTAGAACGAGTACAAAATGTAATTAAAAAAATGTTGGTAGTGTAGTTACATTATACGAATGTGTAGTGCACGTGTATCATTTTAATTGCAAAAACTCAAGAGTCGTCAACTCATTATAATTATAATCTATTCTAATATTATAAAGAGGACAAATTTGTTTTGTTGTTTGTTTATATCGAATAGGCTCCAAAACTACTGAACCGATTTAGATGAAATTTGTTAAAAAGATAGTTTGAGATCCTGGGACGGACATAGGATAGTTTTTATCCCGGATATCAGGAAATCATCCCTTAAAGAGGTGATAATAAGGGTGAAAATTTTATGTGGAAGCAACTTAGGGACGAACCTGAGTGAAGCGAGGGTGAGTCGCCAGTATAACTATTTCTACAGTAACATATACAGGTAAAATTGCCAAAAATAATATTTTTCTGGACTAAAGTCTAAAGGGGTGAAAAGAAGTAAGTTTGTATAAAAATCAATACCTTCCACGCATCTACATATTTAAAAAACCTAGGTGCAGTAGATGCAGAACAATAATCTATACATATAATAAAATTTTTAACTAAGCCGAATCTGTACATTAAATATTTTTTGGAAAATCTTATTAAAATAAACATTATTATCGATACAGAGGCCCAATCTATAGTTTTAAGAATTTTTGTCTGTCTGTCTGCTACCGCATCACAGAAAAACCACTGAAGGGATTTTGATGAAATTTGGTATGGTGATAGCTGGTTATCCGGGTCAACATATAGGATACTTTTTAGCACGGGAAAATATCTCATTTCTGAGAAAAAATGCAAAAAACTGCAATGTAAAACCAAAAAAATAGATTTTTGTTCATCTGAACGCGGGCGGCGCCGCAGGCAATGCTAGTAAAGTATAATAATATAATTGATTATTGCTTAATTCTGATATTCTATAAAGTCATAATACGATTATAACATTGTGTACCTACATATTTACTTAATGTTAAAGTTCAATGCACCTTGCTTTGTTTTGAAGGTACTCTACACACATTTGTTATTTTGCACGTCAGCTGATACCGTGTTAGAATAATATTTGATGACGTCAGCGGAATTAAACATTATGATTATCTTGCTAATGTACATATTTGTATTAAATACCTTTATTAGTTAGAAAGAATGACGTTGAAGCTGAGAATAAATAATAAGTCTATTTATTCGTAGCGTTGAAGTATAAATTAAATTAGCTCTATATGTACATATCTATACTAATATTATATAGAGGGAGAGTTTGTTTATTTGTTTGTTTTTTTGAACGCGCTAATCTCGGGAACTATTAATCAGATTTGAAAAATTATTTTTACATAAAACTTAAGAGTTTTTTTGTAGTTTTAGCGCGAGCAAAGCCGCGGGTTCTGCTAGTATCTAGTAGCTAGCAACATAATACGACTCATCCGTTGTCCTTGTCCTTTGACCTTTGACAGTGAACAGTTCACGATGTGGCATGGCCTATGAGTATACACAAATAGACATACATTGGTATAACTATCCTATAACAGATCTAGCTATGAATATATTTTTACATATCGTCAGAACCGTCTGTTCGTTCGTCGTATCAATTGGTTACTCATATAATAATGTCCACAACATCAGCGGAAATGGAAGGACAATGATGTGAATGAATACTTCTTTGTACGTAAATACATATTTCAATGTAAATAGGTATTTTTTTTATAATTTATAAAGTTCCAGAGGCAAAAAAGTTACTTATATTGTTATAAAAGAAATATAATTTACAATACCATTGTTATTATCAGAATGAAGTATAACAATGTGTTAACGAGACCGTAAAGGAATAAATAAGTATAAATCAAATTCTATTTTTGTATTTAGGCTGGCAAAAGTATTATACATATAAATGTCAACATAAAAACGATATGGACCAGTTTTCTTCAATGAAATATTGCCTCACCTCAGAGCATTAAAATTAGATGAATTATTTAAAAATAGTGTGCGCTGTCCTACATCTTCACATAGTATAAAATGAAATCGCTTCCGCTGTCTGTTCGCTTATCTTTTAAACTGCCCAACGGATTTTAATGCAGTTTTCAACAATAGATAGAGTGATTCAAGAGAAAGGTTTATATTATGTATAATACTTGCATATTATACATATAAACCTTTCTTACACATAGTACAGAAAGCCGAGAAAATTCAAAGATTTGTATTCAATACTGACCGTCAAAACGTACCTAGGGACGAACCCGAACGAAGTGAGGGTGAGTCGCTAGTTACTAGTATTAGATATTATATACGTGTTGACAATTGACATGGTTTATTTTAATAGACGGTTACAGATTAACACAAATCCTGACTGGTTTGCGCATTTCGGTAGCAGTACCAATATTTGGCCCGGGGATCGCAAATTCGATTATCGTTCAAGTTAACTTATACGATTTGAATTTATTTCACATACGCCATAATTGTAAAAAATATGTCGTTCTGTTAAAATTTTCTTGGTTTTGCGAAAACAACGTAACAATTTTTGTACGACATTATGTAAATCAACTTTTCTATACATTTTTATTGAATTGTTTATTTCACCAACTAAGCTTCAATTAATAACTTTTAATTAGATTCCTTCATAAGAAGTCCCTTAGCCTTTTACCTGCGCTTACTTTCAATTAAAGTTAAAAAAATGTCAATCGACCTTTATTTTTATACATTTTTTAATCTATACTATTATATTATTATAAAGAAGTAAAGTTTTGTGAGTTTGTGACGTTTTAGGTGATATCTGGATCTACCGAACAAATTTAGGTGAAATTTGGTAAGAAGATAGTTTGAGACCCTGGGAAGGACATAGGATACTTTTTATCCCTGAAATCATCCCTTAGGGTGGTGAAAATGGGGATGAAAGTTTGTATGGGGAATCAAGCTGTTAATAAATTATATAAAAAAACTCACATAAAGAAAGTATCATTAACCCGATTTGCCAAAACCTATTTTATAATGTCCTTTTCAAAACAATCAATAAACATACCACGCATACAATCAGGAGCATATCCAAAATGGATAAAAATACATACAAATGTTTTTCAAATATGCGCAAAACTATCGTTTGCGAATTCTACTCTTTTGTCCTTGTACGGCAGCGAGAATTTAAATCGTCTTTATTAGCATGTAATATATAAACCTTATTTGTCTATAAATAGATTCTAGAATACAATAAAAAAACTGATTTTAAACTACGATTTTAGTTGATCGCTTACGAAATAATCATTAGTATTTAATTGTTAAATCGCAAATTGCATAAAACATAAAATAAATGTTACTATTTATATTCCTAACATAAAAAAAATTGTTGACAATCTATTACTAAAATGACCTTGGCCAAAATATCATAGATCAGCAGAAGTAAGAAATGGGTACAAAAATAAAATATTTAATACTACAGACTCTTAAGATACACAAAAGTTTGAGATTCGTACTAATAAGTCTTTGTTACATATGCAGTGTACATCCATCCATCCATACCAAATAATTCATAAAACAATTTTTTTTGAGCTAATTCAATCTTTAAAATAAATGTTAATAGTTTCTAAATCTCAAGGCAAGAGAAAAATAATAAATCATTTAACCATTTCAATTTTTTTACTGAGTTCAATTTTACTTTAGTATTATGTTTCAACATTTTTAATGTAAAAACATTAAAAACAGAACATTAAAAAATATCTTTAAAACAAAATGTGAATGTTTAATGATTACTTATGTATTCAGTACTTTAATAAACATAAACACTGTACAATAAAGCTTAATTGATGTTGTATTATTTATAATCCTCTTAATATAAATAACTTTATCATTTATTGTTTCAGTAAATTTGAATAAATTACATCAATCTTTTAAATAATAAGCAACTTAGTCTAACGTATAAAACTTATTTTCATTGAGTTGAATTGAATTCTACACACTCATAAAACTTCCTGGTTGGTTTCAAGGATATTGATTTGTTTTGCCAAAATCTTATCTAACTGATACCGAATCAAATATTTTACGTGTAACGAAGTAGTGCGTTAGTTTTAATTGAAAATATTAACAACAATATATGTAAGTAAATTAAGAAATTTAAAACAATAGACATGGTAAAAATCAATAACTTACTTGATTATCTTGAAAACTATATGTCCATTCGGAAGTCCATGTTTTTAAAGCAAACATGTCCCGATTTATCGTTTTATGTTATTGAGCAACCCAACCATATCCATTTTGGTTTTAATTCACTTTTATTCACAATATATTCGAGAAACATACGCCATAACCAGACACATTCAACCACCAATCAGCTGTTTTCATAAAATGACATACAAGAAAAAACTCGAAACAATAAAACAAATAATTTATGAAAAATACACTCTCGAGTATCGTTTCACCAACAAAGCACAGAAAATTTTATTAAAATAAATTTAATGGGCAACATTTCTCGAAAGGAGGGCGCCACATGTATAGCCTTCCTAGCCTATTTACATTCAATCTGAAGCTAAGCAATTTATTGTGATATCTCTTTTTACACCTGGTTTTTTGATTTTATTGTGTTTGCATTTTACCTGAGCAAATATATTGTACCTAAAAGTTAGACCAGCTGAAGGAAGAATTGAGAAGGAAAAGTGCATCCTGCGGTGGTCCTGACGGATAGACAACACACTATCTAAGCCGATGGTCGTAGAAACGTGAAATTTGGAGGACGTATTCCTTCTATGATGTAGACATCTGATAAAAGGATTTTTCGAAATTCATATTCTAGGTGGGTAAAATAGGGAATTAAAGATTGTATTAAACTCTGTCATTTTTAATGTGAAATACGCAGAAAATGGTGTTTAGCTTTAAAATAAAAAAACAAGAAATATATTTATTTGATTTAAAGGGGTAAAATGGGTTGATAAAGTATATGTTTATATGAGCAAAGAATTATTTATGATCAGAATTACTTGAAACTTGGTATAAATGCTTTTTTATGCAATAAAATATATGTGTTTTAGCATTTTTTCGAAATTTTAATCAGGAGGTAAAATGAAAGGATGAAAATTTGTATAAAACTGTGTATTTAATATGTAAAAAAATCCAAAAATTAAAAAAAGGATATTCACCTGTAGACGATATAAGAGTTTTAAAATCACTTTCTGTATAATGATGTCCACGTAGTCTTAAATATAAAGATTGAGATTTCGCCAATTTTGGTCATCGTATTGCTTTAGTACACCATTTCTTCAGTTTTGGTCTTTTGGAAACAAAAAATATCCATTTCCTTTTCCTTAATCCTAGCAGCGCACAATTTGTTATTAAAATTAAATTTTTTTTTTTAAATAAAATAAAAAAAAACATCTACGCTATAAAACTTTATAATATACTAAGGGCTATAGTGATCGTTACATCTGGCGGGAGAAAAAGGCAAAATTCTTCCCGTATTCAAAATAATTTGTATTGTATTAATAAGTTAGCAAATCGTTAATAGTTAATCGGTGATTCTTTTCACGAGATAATGAAATCATAATATGATCTTGAATTTAAAAAAAATATTTTCTTGAATTATAATTTTTAAAAGTAGTCTTTACTACGAAAATGGTTTTATATAATTTTACCTGTACCTAATTTATAATATAACTATAAAAAAACTAAAATTTTCATGATTTTTTTTGTCATATTATTAGTAAAAAGTATTCCACTGTGTTTTTTACGATTTACTACTGGTTGTAATGCAACTAAAAAATTGTTAAATATTTTCCAAAAATTATCATACCTATCAATCACTTTATCAATCTTCCACTTAAAATAAAAACAAAAAGACGTGTGGCACTCGGAGACTGCCGCGGTAAAGCTATTGCATAGCATTTTTTATCAACTTATGCAATTATAATTATTTATTTATTTTATTAATGCAGTATTTTTTTTCCTTTGTTTTTTTTTATTTGATATTAATTCATGTTACACTTTGAGTTTGGTGACCGATAAAAAAATTATTATCTTTCAATACATGTCGGTTCTTCAGGAATATTTATCATGGAAACTATAGGTTTATGGTAACTGAAATAAGAAACATAAGTTTGAGACTTGATATCCTCTAAATATCTGGAAAAAACCGCGTCAATGGTGGTTCCATATTTTGTTGTGGATTTATTCATTTTCAAATTCAATATTTTCGTAAGCAAGCTGCATCGACTGCATCTTTGTTGCAAGAATTCAAAAGACTGTCTCTAAATAGTGTTCAGACGATAGCTCAAAGTGTATTAGATTTCATTAGTAATAGAAATGGCATGTCAATAATTACTTTCAACTGCCAAAGTCTAAATAGTCCACAAATACGATTTACAAGATTCAGTTACGAGGCAAGCAAATGTGTTACTTCTTTACCGAAACAGATTGTCAAATGTCAGATCGTCAGAAACGTCAGATGTCAGATGTCAAATCTGAGGGGGGGGTGTTAGTTTTTTTCGTTACGGAATTTCTGGATTCGGTCCCCACGCTCAAGGCCCCGCGATAGAAGCTATGCAATAGCTTTAAAAACCTAAAGTAAATTACTTTATCTTGTGAAACATAGAATTTAATTTAAATACTTAGTATTTATTTTGTCATTTTCTATACAAGACGAGAGTGTATAAAATTCATAATAAATTGAATGAACTTAAATAAGATTTGTTTGACTGTTGTTCATTCTTGTCAATATATCCGCTCAATGCGCTCATTCTTCCTTATCTAGTTCATTCACAATTTCAATCAAGTTCAATTGTGCTCATTCGTTTGTTTTTTTTCCTTTTGTAGACGTTGGTTTTTTTTTTTTTGGAGTAACAGATAAAGATTTTTTTTTTTTTTTGGAGGGAAATAGGGATTTCAAATTTTTAAAAGTGTTAAAAGTGTAAAAAATAAATTTAAATTTATCGATTCCCTAAGTGAAATTGGGATATAGTTTGTTTGGGCAAACAAGGTACATGTAACTAAAAGAAATAAACAGTTTAATAGATTTACTTTTTTTCCCGCATGAGATTTTTTTCATTTTGCGTTTTGGCCCGGTTTTTAAAGAATTTCAAAATTATGGCGACCTACAAGCCTTACCACGTTATTTTTTTTTTATTTTTTAACAGATGTCCCCCCCTCGCTTATAGTCGCGCGAATTGGGAATTCTGTTCTTGGTTAAGGTCCCGAAACGTCCCCGGTAAAACCTTGGTAAAAACTAACGGCATCTACTCAATAAATGAAATAGATGAAAAGTGGGGTTTTCAAAGTTAAAAAATGGCAGCATCAAGAAAAATGTTGGTGGGTTTGCGAGGAATCCAAACCCGGGGTTCACGCATTTGGGGGTGGAATTCGAAGATCCACGCGAAAAATTTGTCTAGCAGATTCCTGTTCCGGTGGGTTAGAATGGCACGTTAAAGTACAACATGTGTAATAATAAAGAATTCTTTGGTAGGTTTTTCGATAAGGTTTTGTTTAGTATTTGGATTAAATTCCCCAAGTACAATTCAAATTAGGGCCCCGCCATATTTGAAATTTTTTTTCGCCCATTTTTTTGGTTTTTAGCCTTTCACAACCTTGGAAACCTTCGGTGGGAAAAAAAAAACATAGTTTCTTTTTGATTAATTTATAGATTAGTAACAACTTCCCCTAATAATTGCCCTTTAACAATAACAAATTTTACCAATAAGGTTTTTGGATTTGCCCCCAATCGTTTTTTGGCGAAAGGTTTTTGTAGGCAAAAATTTTCGTAATTCCGTTAGAGGTTTTTTTGTTTTAATTCCCTGGATCATTACAATATCACTTACACCTCAAGAATTAATTTCTTTTTTTGGGATAAAATTTTTTAGACAAAACCACTATAACCTTCCTAAACGTGGGTGGTTTATCACTAGTTATAATATTTAGTAATAAATCCCACCCGTACCCTTTTAATTAGTTTTAACCCTTTCCCCGTGAATTTTAGGTTAGTGAACAAAAAAACTTTAAGTTTATTGTCCTTCAGGTTTAAGGTTAGACAGGGCTGGCCCGTTTTTAGAATTGGGGAAACGCCTTGGCCCCCCCTAAGCGGGTGGGGTGGGTAAAAATTTTTGTCCCCCTGGATAAGGGGAATAACGTGATAGGGAGTCCCGAAAATGTTTAAATAAAAATTGGTTCCGCGAACGTTTATGAGTAAAAAAGTTTTTATTGAGACTTTAAAGTTAACACACATTTTCCCATACATTATTTTTGACATTTAACTAACCATTTAGACACTTGGAGTCAAAACGTCAACGTTATCCAATTGTCAAAAATGGAATCCTCCAATATGGAATTGTACTTTAGTTTTTGTAAAAGCTTTACGTGGAAAATTCGAAATTTTTTTTCTAGTTTTTTCTAGTCATTTAATGGTCCACTCGCCGGCCCGCCTACCAACAGCGGCACTCGCTCTGCTTTCCGTCTCCGCTATCGGCATCGTGGCTTGTGGCAACCTGGGTTTTTTTTTTTCTAACCTAACCTAACCAAGGAATAAATTTTGGGAGAAATAATAAATAAATTTTTAATCTTAATTGTTTACCAGATATGAAGGAATAATAAATAACATAATCTTACATGTTGCTAAACCTAACCTAAACCCAGTATTAATGACGAATAATAAATAAATAATTAAAAAATATTCACAGATAAAAAAAAAATGATTTTTTTTTTTTTTTTTACTAAAAATGTATCAATTGTAAAACAATATATTTTTACATAAAAAATCAAAAATTCTAAAAAGTCCCCCCCCCCATAATGTTATTTTATAAAGTTGGAAAAATAATATTTTTCCCTTTTTATTTATTTTAATTTATTAATAGTAATATTTACTTACCAACAGAAAAAGCAAAAATAATCCCAAATAATAATCCTTGTTTTATTGTCCCATTTAAGCCGGTAATAATAAAACAAAGTGGTCCAGGTTTCGCTTTTTTTGTCCCAAAAATGTAAGATCATTTTGTTTGTGTTTTTTTTTTGAAATTATTAAAAATAATTAAATACAATAAAGCAATGTAATTTGTGTTGTGAAAATATGTATTTTGTAAACATAAAAAAAAGGGATTGCGTTACTCATTTCCGTTTTTTAAAGGTATGTTTATCTGTTGTAATCACTTATTTAGGTAAAGAAATTGTATGGGAAATGGTTTGGGTTTTAGAATTTATGTTATAACTTTTTTAAGTCTCACATAACTTTTTTTTTTCTCGTTACGTTTTTTTCCTTCCAAATATTTTTTTTAATATATTTTTTTTTGACTCTTCTGTCCAACCTCCCCTTTTTTAAAAATACGCACCCCACTCCGAATGGGTGGCTTTAAAGAAATAATAGTGAAAAATGTAATGGAAAATGTTTTTGTAAACTTTAAAGTCCTCAATAACTTTTTTTTTTAACGCCATACGCTCTTTTTTTCGCGGTCCCAATTTTTTTGTTTTTATTTTAACATTTTTCGACTCCCTCATCACGTCCCTTATCCAGAAATACCACCCACATCCGCTAGGGGCCAAGTTCCCCCCAAATTCTGTTCCTAAATTTTTTTGTTGCCCTAGAACAGTTTACGCACAACGCACTTTCCGGAGCCCGCGCCCGGGATCGTGCCCCGCCCGCGGTAAAAAAGCAGGCCTGGCCCGAAGTGCCAACAAACTAAGTAGAAAAATAGAAAAATCGATTTTTGCACTCAAAAATATGTAAAATTGAAAACAAAAAATAATGGTGAATTTTTTTTCAAATTAAAAATTAATAATTATTAAACGCTAAATTTTTGTGGAGATAATTTGGTGGTCCAGTTCACGCTTAAAATTTAAACCGCTGTAGTCCCCCACGGCTAGTGGTGGCCGAAATTAGTCCCCCCCCTCAGCCATATTATAAATTTTCAAAAACAAATGTTTTTCCAGAGAAAACTCTGCCCCTCCGCTTTCGTCCCCCCTCTTTTTCGTCCCCCCAGCGCCCTTTCTCCCATGCAAGGGCATAAAAAAACCTGGCCAACTTCCCTGTGGTGCCAGAGCAGTTTTTTTGTTTCAATTCAAATGTTTTTAATTATTATAATAATACTAATTTTGAGGTGTCAGCTCTATGAAAATTTTGTTTTGAATTTTTTTTTTTCTTCAAGATAAGGAAAATGTAAATTACCTTTTAGTAATGGGGAAGTGGTATGGGGGGAAATGGGGAGACTCAACCTCTACCGCCTCCCCCCCCTACCATGCATCCTGCCAAACAATTGGCGAAATCATACCCTGTAAATTATATATAATTGGTTTTTTTTATTTATAAAAAATATACAGTAGACCATATTTTTTTTTGTTTAAATTCTTTTTTCAAATTGTAAAATTTCAATGCGTTTTTTTTTTGTCGACTGTGAAAAAATTTTTTTGAAGCTTTCATAATTTTTCATTTGGTAATGTAAAAATGCAAACGCTCCTTTTTAGATTTCCCATTTTCCACATCTTTTTAAATATGAAAATGGCTGGAGTCCCCATAAAGTTTGTGCTAAAGCATAGTACCATTGTCCCATAAACTAAGGAACTGAAAAAACATGGTTAATTTTCCTTTTCCCCATTTTGACTTTCCACTTGTTCCCCCTTGGAATGGGGAAACATATTAAATACAACAAATTTTTTTGTTTTTTTTTCTTTTTTATAATTTAAGGAAAAAAAAGTAGAGACAATAAAGAGGTACTCTTAATTTAATTAAATAATTGAAAAAAATTTACCAGGCGGTGGCTGTGGAACAAGGAATTTTCTGTGTGGGAAAGAATGGTCCCCCAAATGGCAGAAAAACAAGGGAGAAGATCCCGCAGGTAACTCCCTACCGTGAAATTTTGCAAGTTTTTTAAATTGCCCAATTTTCACTTTTTTTTTTTTTTTATACCCTATGTTTTTGTAAGATATTTTTTGTTCAACCATAGCATATAAATAGCAATTGAACCTTGTTTTTTTGCTACAGTAAAGAATTAGTTTGAGCCTGATTTTTTTAGTGTAGAGGAAAATTATTTTTTCCCAATAAAAATATGAGTGGGCAAAGTGGAACAAGGATAGGTCTTCCTTTTTGTCCCCCAAGAGAATTTTAATTTACATTTATTCAATAATGAAATAATTAAACAATTCTTTGGGATTTTTAGATAATAAAATTAGAAATAAATAAAATAGTTAATTTTTTTGGAAATGAAATCCTTCTATAATCCTTTTTAATAAGTTAAATTTTTTTGGTCAATAATGTGTAAATTTTAAAACTATTTTTTGTGCGCTATTTTATTTTAGATTTTCCCCCTTTAAATTATAAAGTTTGATTTCAGAGTTCCTTTTTAATATGTCCAAGATAAATATTGAAAATATAAATTTTTTTTGTTAAAAAATATCCAATAAACCATTAATTCATAAATTTTTGATTATATTGGGTTTTTTTTTTGCTTTTAATAAATGTAGAGTTATTTTTAAACATGGAGAATTAAATTGTTGGTGGGGGTGGTTTGGAACGTTTTTTGGCAGAGTTCCATTTTTATCCAACCCCAACCACCAACCCCACATCCAACGACCTCACCCACATCTCTTTTCCACTAAGTCCTTTTTTCTTAATCCAATTAAATGGTACGCGTCGGGATCCGCGACCAACGCTACAGGTCCCCGCTAACAACCCGCCTCTAGACGGGATTCGGCCTCTTCCCCCCAAAACAACGCGCTGAAAGCCTCCCGCCCCTCTATTTTCCTTCTTAACGGCCCCATCACCTAACCTCCCCTAAAACACCTGGGGTTTTTTTTTATTTTAATGAACCGCGCAAATACAATTCCATGCGTTACGTTCCGTCCACCGAGGCCACGACCGGGCTACCAACCGTGTCCGCACTTTCGCGAAACTTTTCCCGGTAAAACATCATTTCGAAGACGTTGGAAAAACCTTGCCTCCGTTTACCCCCTTCGGCCTCAGCAGTCCCCCCCCCACCCCCTCAGCTATAACGAACAACCGGCCCTGCACACATGGTTTTTTTTTGTTTCGGTATTTTTAATCCTGAAAATACTTAGCACTGCCTTACCCTAAGCCCCTATTCTAGTACTAGTTTTATACACGGTGGTTTCGGAAGCGAATGGTACTAAAGTCAAGAGATGCACATTCCTTTGGATTTTTTTTTGGGGTAACATGATTTTTTTTTTTAAAAATAGGTAATTTAACCTCAACAAATCATTATATTTTCTCCCTTTTTTGTAATTACACATAAGAAACTTGACATACAGACAGACAAAAAAAACCACAACAACAACAACCCGTAGCTTTTCAACCCAAATTCAACAAGCAACATTACAAACTAAAACATTTTTAGTCCCCCTAAGCAAGTAAGGAGATGTTAAACACAATGAAAATGCACCAACCAGGTCCGAATGGAGGGCGTAAAAAGGGCCCCGCGCCGGAACGTTTCATACTCCCGCGGGGACGGTTTTTCAAGGGGTCAACCAAGGCCCGCCCCTTTCTTCCTTCCGTCCGTAAGAACGCCTCTCCCTCAGTAAAACCGGGTCCGCCGCCTTTCGCGCTTCCCCGCGACAAGACCGCCAGCTCCCGTATTCAGATAGCAAAAGGAACCCCCAGGTTAAAATTAAAAAATAGGAGAAAAAAACCTATCCGATCCACATCAACGAATTTCCCCCGGCTCACGAGACAGCGGCTATAGCAGATCAGACAGTCGGAAAAGGTGAGTTTTTTGTGTCACCCATCCCTTTGGAAAACCACCATGTCCTCTGTGCCCGCACCAACTTTTTGCATTCGAGGTATATTATATACAGCATGTTTTTTTAGAATTTTTTTTGTTTGGTTTGAAAAATTTTGTCCTTCCTTGGGATATTTTTTTTGAAAGTAAAAAAGACATTGGCAACCCAACATTTAATAAATTTTTTATCTTTTAAGAAAATATATTAAATTCTATAAAAGTGAGTTTATTGAACATTGA